TCTGCAGAGACTGCTAAGTCATCTATGAGAACACCCTGAAGTGTCACAAGTACAGTCTGAACTGACAGTGGCAGTTTGGATAAAAATAGTTCTCTAAACAGTCCTTCATCGAACTGACTTTGGCCAATGATCTCTTTCATTCTTGCCAGCATGGTCACGGCTGACTGATCTCCTAACTCGATGTTACGAAATAACTCATCCAAACGTTGTCGATCTGTGAGAACGTTTCCCTTGAGGATGGATGCTTTGAGCAACTCGTACGAGTTACTTACCGACATCTGCAGAGTTACGCACCTGCTGAATTCCCGCGGTAGGGCGTGAATAACTGCAAGGAACTGTGAACGTTGATCAGTTATGCCATGTTCACAAAAATCAGACTCAGCAATCTGAAACCACGTTTCAGCATTATCTGGCCAATATGGTACTAGCTGGATTGTTTTGGCGGCTGAGCGAATCCGAATAACCTTGGGGCTAGGATCACTCATGACGAAAATGCCGATTGCAAAGGAGTATAGGAACAAACACAAAAAGGAAAGAACTCACCGGGTTTATCTGCGTGTGAGTTGAAGATGTAGTTCGTGGTTGAGCTCACCAGTTTAGGTGGTTACAGGTATTGACGTTCGCGAGTTGTACGGATTATACTAACGCAAGATCTTATACCAACAACTTCTATAGTTTTCGTTCTTCGAGTACCAAAGATAAAGCAAAAGACCAAATTTTGTCGTCCAAAGTACGTAGTATATTTCGGGACCAAATCGCGGATTAATAATTTTGGGGAATTATTCACCGCTACAGACTGTACATAAAATGGCTCCCAGTCGACGAAAATGTATATTCAAACTAAAAATGCACAACAGTACAGTGAACCATGAGCGGTCGAATCAACAAAAAAGTGCAAAAAATTGTGAAAAGTACAACTTCAGTGTTTGTGGTTGCTATATTAGACGTAATACTGTGAACCAATAATACGAGGATGCCAAATATTCAGACCTGACAAGGTTCCCAGGTAGAGAGCCACTGTTACTCTTCCTTTATTCTCTGGCTAGCTAGATTGGACAGTGTTCCAAAATACCATGTAGGACCTAACGTTGTGAATAGCCGACACGCTTCGCTTCACAAGGAGAAGTAAATTAGCAAATACATAGCGAGACGGTCAAAAGTGGCATCCTGACATTAATGTATGGGCAAAGTTAAACTTTCGACACCAATAACAACCAATCAGAAAACGACCTTGAACTGACCAATCACATGATAAGTGGAAGCGTATATTTGTACAAAAATGCATAGAAAAAAGTATAAAACCGTTACAATGGGTATCTTTCTCGAACATGAGACAAAAACATCTCCCAATTCAACATGGGACTGTCAATAGAGAAATCGCACCATATTCTATACATGTATTCGTCCAAATGACTGAAAATTATATCCTTTTGTGATCCATTTATAGCCCGGATCCTGTTTTTCAGTCTCCCCCAAAAACCTTCAATTGAATTGGTATGAGTCCCAGTGACAGGATCGACGAAATCATTGGAGTGGTTCACTCTGTGGTGAACGTAACCCAGAGATGACAGGGAATCGCAGCCTTTCCAATCGTCGGTATGCACAATTGATCCCCTTTTCACAAGTCGAGTTATAATAGGGATCAAAGTGCTCGCCTTCCTGTCTTCTATCCTTTCAACAAACCCTTTTCGAAGGGACGTGTCATATAAACCGATAACCCAAATGTTGTTTGCTCTCTGACGACCCCGATTGTATTTCTTTTTTATCAACACTGTTTCGTCTACATGGACTACTACGTCCTCCCCGCCTAACAGTGAAGTGATTCTGTCCATTTTCCATGATGCGATGTCTCTACAATACTGATACCACTGGACTGTTGAGACAAGGCTATTCTCCGTCTCCGCAGCTGCCGCTCTCACTGGCTGCTTCAGTACCCAATAATTGCAGGTATACAAAATTTGGGTTAGAGAGAGATGTGATCTAGCAAAAAAAGTCCCTACGAAATATTAAAATTAGCAGCTTACCCTCTCTAATACTAACTCTTTTCCAACATATTCCACAACGATGGACAAATCCATCAGTTGACCTCGAATAGCTTTTCAGAGTCATAACACCACCACAGGAACACTTTCTCTCCTTTCTTAGCAAGCCTAAGTCTAGGCAATACTGAACTACACTATCCTCCTCGAAATGCAAACGTAACCTTGTAAGGGCACGCATTGAAATGAAGCAAGCGCTATACAATATTGAACTGCGTTCGTGAATCTGATTGGATAATTCGACGTCATCGCTGATTGGTAGTTATTGGTGTCTAAAGTTTAACTTGGCCCACATAGGATACACATCTCTAATAAGCTGCAAAAATTGGCCCCACTTTCTCATAGAAGCGGTTATAGGCACATCAAACCAATGTATTCTCTATTTCTTCAGATGCGGCAGATACTGATCGGATATACGCAATATATTACTGAGGGAGAGTTTCGATTTTGAGAAGAAAATGTCCAAAAATTCAGCATTCTGTACGACTTATCAATTCTTACAAACTCCTTCATATAAAGTGGTTGGATCTGAATGCATAACCATCAGTAGCCCGGCAATACCTTTTCAGAGTTATTATCCCTCCAGATATGCATGTTCTAGTCGTCCCCATCAACCCACTTTCCACAGGGAAGTCAAAAACAAAGTCTAGGAGACACTTGCGACCAGGATTATGACTAGCGTCCATTCGTAATGCTAAGCAATCTGGTTTGCCGAATCAAGGTCATTTGATTTTGGTGTCTATTGCTTGCTCTTGTCAAGCAGTCTGTGACAGGCGTAGCTGTTGAAACACAGAAAACAGTCTCCTCTTAACAGTTCAGTGTCACAAGCATTGTGCGCCGGTGGCACAGTGGTTAGGACTCTCGCCGACCATGCACATGGTCCGGGGTTCGATCCCCTGCCGACGCACACCTGATATTTATGGCCAGCCTGCAAAATTTGGGCTACCGATATCACATGCTGAAAGTTCCATACCTGTACCAAAAAATACGGTGTGGAATCAAGCTGTAATCCAAAAGAAGATATAGCGTCATGGAAAATAGAGAGAATTACTTCGTCATTCAAATGAGAAGGTATCATCGTACACATGGATGACTGGAAAGGTTGTAACTACCTGTCATTCCTTGGATACATTCATCAGAGAGCGAACCATTCTAATGATTTTGTGGATCCCATTACAGGGATACACATCAGTTCTATAGAAGGCCTTTGGGAAAGGTTAAAAACAGGATTAGGGCCATTTATGGATCTCAAAAGTATGTCATTTATAGTCATTTAGATGAATATATGTATAGAATGTGGTGTGACTTTCCAGTTAGTACTCCTATGCTCAACTGGGGATGCTTTTACCACATGTCACAGAAAGGTATCCCATAAAACATTTTTATGCAGTTTTTATGCATTTTTCTCATAAATATATGTTTTCCATAACCGAAAATGCCTCCTTCATGTGATTGGTGCGTATAAGGTCATTCGCTGATTGGTAGTTAGTGGTGTTTAAAGTTTAACTCTGTCCCTAACCCTAACATCAAAACATCCCTAAACTAACCGTAGTCTAACTCAAACCAGCCCTAATATCGACGATATTCGGTTGGCCTAACCCTAACCTGCCCTTAGACCTTAACTTTAACTTAATCTTTCCCAAACCTAACCTGAAACTTTCCAGATCTCCTACTAAATAACATAACGCTCCATCCGGCGTATTTTATCTATGATTACAATATTATTTACCAGGTTTCACCAACTTGCTCACTGAGGATTCCAAGGTCACTGGTGTGTTCGCATTTCTCTGGTACGTACTGGTGCTTAAAGCTTAACTTGGCAGCGAATCACTTAAGATCAAATATCAGAGGAGACTGAAATTTGACTGATCTCCTCTGCTGTATCATATCTAGGATGAGAAGACGAAAGGGAGGCAAATTCGTCTTGGTGACGATTTATGTTCTTACCCAATGCTTATCAGGCATAACTCTATTATCTAAAAGGTGTATACGTTTAAGCCATCACACATGCCAGCGAAACTTTCCAAGAACAAACAATATAAACGTGATAATATATAACGAATTTATTCTAAATGCTTATTTGAGAAAATTATAACTGGCTGTCAAACAAATTAGATCAGAAACAAATGACCGAGAAAAAAAAGAAAGATTCAATGTACATATTTTCATTTTGTTTTAGATTTATGATTCAATTTAGGCGCTATATTTATTGTGTGTTTAACTGTTTTATATTCAATGTCCAACAAAATTTCAAATGTATATCATTAAAATGAGCTAATACAGAGAAAAAGATAGGGAGAAAAATATGTATAACTTCATTCAGTAGAACCAGCTACTGATGTAATTCTCTTTTCATTGAGTACTTATAATTCACAGTGGTTATTGTTTTCTGTTTTTTGTCTATTATTTTCTAAAGATTTACACTGATATGAGTGACTGTTTGCTGGTTTCATGAGGTGGAATATAAAAATAATGAAATATACACTAGGAAAGAAGGATATTCATCGTTAGAGAGGAGGACTGGGAGGAGGAAAGTCTCACGACTGATGATGACAGCGTTCATTTAACAGACACACTGTGTTGCAATCAAGTATCCCAACGACATCCATAAGTTAAGTTTGAAAGAAATGTCTGATTGCAAGTTTTATAAGAGGGAAGAAAAGTATACCTTCCTGTCTGGTTATAAGAGTAAAAGAATCTAAGTTAAGTGAGGTCCATGTAGGCGCGATAATTGATTAGATAGAATTGTATTATCTCCACTGAAAATAACAATAATAATAGTAATCGTAATCAAGTGAATGACTTTCGAACATGTAGTATTATACAAAATGTATCATCTAAAAATGACTGTACATACGGAAGAGAGACAGAAAAAGAAAGAGAGAGGAAATTGAAGTAGATATTTCATGGGATGGGTGAATATTTTGTAATGTATGCATGTATTTTTTTGCCATATTTAGCCTATTGTACATCCCATATAAGAACATAATTATCACTGTCATCATCACCAATATTAATATATGAGCTATTATTCATATCATTGATTCCACCTATAGAGGATAAATCTTTCTTAATAAATTCTTCACGTCCTTCACCGCCACTGATCACTTTCATTTTGGTAGCAATTGTAGTACACGGATTTACTGATGCTCTACGGCTAGCTGCAAAATGATGTCGAGACAACTGTCCAGCTTGACTTAGTGTAGCTGTTCGTGGATGATTGACTGAAGACGATTCTGTAGTGCTGGCAGTGGTAGGTGTTGTTGTTGCTGTAGTCGGGGTTGTCGTCGCTGTGGTTGTTGATACGTTTGCTGTACTCAAAGTCGTTGTCTGATTTGATATGTCTAATGATTGAGTGGTTGTATTCACTGGAGTAGTTTGACTTTTTAAGGATTCTTTTTCACTAATATTTTCATCGTCAACTATATTGTCTAAAGTAACTAAAAAGCGTACTTGTCCTATATGTCCATGAGGTAAAGCTGAAAAAAAAGAGGATAACAGAAGTAATGTAGTATTGATATATTCTGTTTTTACTCAATATAATTACAAAAATATATACACGCCATTTTCAAGTTTTAAGGTCTGAAGATTTACCACCTTTAATGGCCTTTGTAAAAACTGTAAGCCAGTTTAAAGCAAACTTAACTTGACGCTTCTTTAATTTTACTTGATCTCCACTGAGTCTTGTCAGTTATGTTACGCTACTCAATTTTATTTTCGTTTCTATCAGAATAATACTTTCTGTATTAAGTAATTTTTATCTAGAACCTTCAATTTTAATGATATATATTTGGAATTATTCCTTTTGTTTCTTCGAAAATGTACTGTGTATGCATGCGATAGTGCAGCCTGAGAATGATATTCATGAGAAGAGTAACTGTTCACTAAACGCCACTTCTTTAACGATAAATATATAATGGCAGTATGCACCCACTGCCAGGGTTCGAACCCAGGACCTTCCGGTTACAAGGCAAGCTCGTATACTATTTAGCCACTGGGCCAGATTCAATGGCTTATGAATTCTAACTTCTACCTGGTTTTCAATGGTTCTCTAACTGATATCAATCCAGGATCAACTCGTAAAGACAAAACTAACCCTTACAAACCAAACTATAAAATATATAATGACTATATATCTTTGTAACAGAAGTAACAATAACGATTCACATCTACATATTAGGTGGCTAGGTGTAATCTCATTGGACCCCCTCTGTTTGACACATATTTTTCAAACACATACACGATTCTATGAAGTGAAAGTCGATAAATGTGTACTTTGGGAGTCTTCAGGAGTACGCACTCACTGGGCTTCAAACCCAGTACCTTTCAGTTACAACCAAAGCTCATAGACCATTGAAACACTGGGATCCGATCCAAAAGCCCATGAGTTCCAACTTCTGTCAATTCACGAACTATATAGAATCGAGTCCCAGTAGCTGATTGACTCGTCTTGTAATCAGAAGATCGTGAATTCGAATCCCAGTGGGTACGAATTACTGAGAAGTTACAAACTAGGACGAAACAGCTGTCTAATACTCCTTGGTAGTTTTACAAAGGTTCTCTAACTTATGTGCACTCATGATCAAAACTGTGACCGTTCAAGTCCCTGCAAACCAACAAATGTATAGTTTCTTAACTTCAAAACAAAAATGATTCAATGTTCAGTGGTTATAAACGTTAAAAACCAATTCATAAAATAACGTTTACGTTTAGAAAGGAAATCACATGAACACTTACTTTCTAATTGTGGTTGTTTAACATTTTCATGTGTAGTTCCAGTACCAACTTTTGGGATGGCTACAGTGACAATAACTCCTGCACTTGTACCAGCCCATAGTAAATCTTTGCACACTGTAAGACATGTAATCCTTAGACAGGCTTCTTTATGTCTCATAATAATTTCATCACAATCTAAATAAAAAATTGAGAGAAAGGGTATATATATATGCATATTTCCATAATTTATTCACAGAAAGAATAATTAGAACCAACAATCGTTTCAATGAATTCTTCTTCAGACTCTAAAAAATATAAATCCATCAATTTTTTAGCATATAATAGCTCCAGTTAAGGTAAATTGAAATCACTTGAGCTGTAACAGCGGAACACAAGGGCCAGGCAACAGATCGTTTAATTGAGGAAATCAACAGATGTTTGTAGATTTTTATGTACATTATTACTCGTTATTATTAGCAGAGAAACAGCGTCTTCTGATTGGTTGTTTTCTCACTGAAGGTTATCCTGTCATCTCTTTGTAGCAATTGCTTTGAAGGTCAGACCATATATCTGCGAATCATATCCACCCACGCAAAGTCTGCTATGGTTGGTTGTTGAGTTAGTCTTTGTTCGTGTTGTTTTTTCTCATGACCAATATTTGGGACGTAAACATTGACGTCAATTGCTGTCTACCAATTTTGAAGGTCAGTCAAAGAAATGGCCACAAAGAGATGACAGGATAACCTTCAGGGGAAAAACAACCAATCAGAAGGCGCTGTTTCTTTGCTTATAATAACGAATAATAATGTACATAAAAATCTATAAATATCTGTTGATTTCCTCAACAAACGATCTGTTGCCTGGCCATTGTCTTCTATCGTTGCATTGGTACCGCAATGCACTTTCTGATATAATTCTAATTTATCTTTATTAGTGTTACTATATACCCAAAATAAATAAATTTATATTTGTAGATCTCCTGAAGAAGAGTTTATTGAAAACAGTTGGTCATCACTCGAATTATTTCTGCTTCTGAAGAAATGTATGCATACATTGTAAAGCTCCAATATTGTATATATGTTGATTTTGATGATTCATACAAATGATGTATGTATGTAAGATGACAGCCACAAATATGAATAATACTCATTGTATACAGGCATAATGTATTTATCAGTAGACATTATTCATTACTAGTCTTGCCTTTTATTTTTTTATTTATAAACACCAGCCTTCATTTTATATGAATTGATACAATGTTCAATAAGATATATTTATTTTAATCAATATCTGGTGACATTTAAATTAGATTAGTTAATTTGTATTCAAAAAAGGACTCTTGTTTTTCTTTATATGACCTTTATGAAAGAATTTCTGTGTTAAATCGTTTTCAGATGAACAAGTGAAAGAAGGTACAATGTGCGTATTGGATTATGTTTGAAAATACAAAACTTTTGGAATAAGAATGCATGGCATAAGATTATATTTCCTTTATCCATCGGACTCAGTATTTATACATACTAAAATAAAAAGTATTATCTACAAATTTATCAGTAATTTGGTTGAATGGTTAGCTGACTGACCTCGTAACCTGAAAGTTCCGTTTACATTTCCTAACGTTATGGGTTATGGATCCCCACTAAAATCTATAATCTGAGTTTTAGAAACTTGTCTAAAATTGCCGATTATTTTCACTTCGATTGCATGAAGGATTTCGTCATGAACTAACATCACTTAGAGAACCACTGGAAAACCTGCAGAGAGTACTGGACAGCTGTTTTGTCCTAGTTTAGGACTCTTCAGAAGTACGCACCCACTGGTGTTCGAACCCAGGACCTTCTGGTTACAAGGTGAGCTCGTAGACCGTTGAGCCACTGGGACCCGATCCAATGGTCCTTGAATTCTAACTTCTGCCAATTCACGACATAGCGTGACCATTTTGCAATGTCTTCTTCGATGAGTTACTGCCTCATCTTCAACCTGCTGTATCCTACTGGTCACGGCTTCCCACTAGAACCCCAGGTTAACTGCCTGAATAGGGCCAGTCACTAGTGAGTCCCAAACTAGGACGAAACAGCTGTCCAGTACTCCTAGGTTTTCCAGTGGTTCTCTAACTGATGTCAGCTCATGATGAAATCCTCCATGCAATCAAACCAAATCCTTACAAAACCAATACTTGAATATTTTCACTTTGTCATACAAGTAGTGTTTTGTCTTATGAATCAATAGAGAAAGATTATTCTTCTTGTCTAAACAAGGTTTTTCATAGCTTTTCTGTTGTGATTTATTGATATTTTAATATTTTTCTAAAAAATATTTTGATTATACCTTGATTCCACACAGCACATTTGGTACAAGTATGAAATTTTCAGCATGTGATGTCGGTAGCCCAAATTTTGCAGGCCAGCCATTGATATCAGGTGTGCGTTGGCAGGGGATCGAATCCCGGAACATGCGCATGGTCGGCGACAGTCCTTGCCGCTGTGCCACCGACGCATGTGGTGAAGCTTACGTTGAGATTTGATATTAGTGACTGACTTCCGGATGAATGTCTTAAAGTTCTGATGAGTTTTCATGGCTGACGGGATGCTCCATCTCAGGTGTCGGTTGGACACTAGTAGATACCATTAATTGGCGGTGGCGTCATGTCATAGATTGACGACGTCTTAATTCATGAGTTATCGACTGTCAACCTAGTGGATAAATGATCAGAGGGATGAACTTGTAATAATTAAGCCTAGTGTTTTGATTACTGATGTATATTATTGTCAGCGGAGAAGCAACACCTTTTGATTGGCCATTTTCTTTCTGAAGGTTATTCTGTAATGCTAGTGGCAGCTTCTTAGAAAGTTAAGCCATATATTTGCGAGTCGTATTTGCACGCCTTAATTCTGCTGTGAATGGTTAGTGAGTTCCTCAACGTTAGGCTTTGTTAATATTTTCTCTCACGATCTCGATTCAGGACGTAATCATTGACGTAAATTAATGTCTACAATTTTGCCTAGCTGACAGCTCTCACCACAATAGGGCTTCAAGCTTTCAACCTTGTGGTTTTAGTAGGGGAGGTGTTGTTTTATGCACAGAATGAGGCTGCTAGCCTCACACTCAACCTTTCCTCTTTTTCCAGGTTGACTATCAGCTAGTAGACTAGGTGAGGTATTGTAGAGTGTCGGTGGTCGGGAATCGAACCCAGACCACATGTGCGTCTGTGTCTGTGACCATTCGACGATTAAACCGCCAATGAACTACACTCACATATACATAATAATAAAGTAGTATTATATCAAATTAAAACATTAATTTATCTGATATTAGTATAATGTACTACAAAAGAAACGAAAAGAAAAGAAAAAGAAAGGGTTATACCTTGTAATCTTTCAAGTACAACAGGTTTCAGATCAATTTCCATTAGAAATTCTCCACTGGTTGCATGATATAAACTTATACGTGAACTGTTTTCTGTAGCTAACCATACAGTTTGTTTTCCATAGGCCATCAGTTGAATTCCTCTTGGATCAGCATAATTACCATTCAACGGAAATGTAAGCTAATGTTTGTGAATGTGGAAAGAATGAGGGGGAAAAGAATAGAGGATTGTTAGATAATTCTTTAAAAGCAAAAATTTGATGTAAATACATTAAGTATTTCAATTCAATAACTCCCAAAGGGTGTCGTTTTTTAGATGGTTGCCGTTGATCAGCTATTTTCCAAAGATTATTGTATTTCAGGGGTTTATATACATAGAATTTAATTGTTGGATGGTGACTAGTAGTGGAATCCAGGATGCGCATTTCGTCCTATTTGGGACTCGTCATCTGAATGTACTTGCATTCCGCAGTGAGTGATGATGTCCACACCGAGGCTCGAACTCAGTTTCCGTAGTTTCAGACGCCAAAGCGTTATCCACTAGACCCTACTTGGGCCACGAGAACCACCTCTTGTGCAACGGGTCCTATTAATTATTTAATTGAATTTTAGATTTTCCTGTTGATCGATTGGACCGAGGTGCTCGGTCTCAGGTTGACATGTTGGCTTCTTGTGCATATGCTTGTATATATATATATATACTGTTATTATTCACTTAGGTTTCGAGTAGGACAAAGTGCTTCAAAAGCACTTCTCCACTTCATCCTGTCTTCTGCAGTCCTATTTAATTGGCGCCTCTCTTGTCCATAAGTTCTCATCTCCTCCTCACATTGTCTCGTCCATGTCACTCTCTGACGCACCCCTAACTCGTTGATTCATATTGGGATTCAACTTTAGAGACGGTCTTCTCAGGATGTGTCCAATCCATTTCAATTTCACCTTGCTTATTCGTTGGACTTTGACTTCTCGGGTGATCCATTTCCAGAGTTTCTTGTTGCTTATCCTTGCCTATTCAGTATAGAGAAAGGATAGATGTTGATAAAAGGTTGTAGTAGCTTGTTCGAAATAATTCTAATGACTCGCTAAGAACCTTCATTCTTTATGGTGAATGCTGTGTTAGGACAGACACTCACCGATGACATTCACTGGTGGTCACGCCATATAGTGAATTGGCAGCAGTTGGAATTCATGCACTGGCCATTGGATCGGGTCCCAGTGACTTAATGGTCTACGAGCTAGCTTGCCTTGTATCTAGAAGATCTCAGGTTCGAGGGCCCACTGAGTGGGTATTGAAGAAGAGACCAGAACAGAGACGAAACAGCTGTCTGGTGGTACTCCCAAGTTTTTCAATGATTCTTTAACTGATGTCAGTTCATGGTGAAATATTGTGTTGTTTCTCATGAGGCTAGCAACCACAACCCGTAAAAATAGATACCACTGCTACCGAAACTTCAAAGCTCTAGCTTGAAGCCCCTATGTCTCACTAAGGACATAAAAGGAATAAAAAAATAGACTGGTTACAGTATTTTATCAGGAACTGACATCGGTTAGAGAACCACTGGAAAACCTGGAAGCACCACCAGACAGCTGTTTCCCCCGTCCTAGTTTGGGACTCTTCACGGGACACACCCACCACAGGAGGTTCAAACCAAGGACCTTCTGGTTACAAGGCGAGCTAGCTCATAGACCATTAAGCCACTGGGACTCGATGCAATGACCAGTGCATGAATTCGAACTTCTACCAATTCACGACATAGCACGAGCGCTAGCGAATGTCATCGGTGGAGAATTTGTGTCCTCACACCTTACCTGCTGCACCCTACTGGCTTAGTAGTTTTCGATAGTTTATGCTTAAAATATGAATATAAAATTGGTGATTTTAGAATACACCTCTAGAAAAAACACCCTTATGATTCACTTTTACTAAAACATTTCATACATATACGTTTATAGAAAGATACTCTATGTGGCATAACATGTGAATTCACTAACCTCTGAATTCAGTGTTGTTGGATTTAAAATGAATATTGAACGGTGAGCAGCACACCATATCTTTCCAGCTACAGCTAACATACGCTTTACAATAACCGGTTCATTTGAGCCTGGTTGTAGCTTCACTTGTACTGGATTATCAACATCCCATAGTCCATCTGATTGACAGCAGCCAATGTGTGTATGTAATACAAATAAAGAAGAGGAGATTAAATATGAGTGAAAATTCAATTTCCCCATGGTAATTTTAAAGAAACGCTAAATGTGAGTAATCAGATGAAGTAGGCTGTTCACCACAATGATCAAGGGAGTGTAGAAACTCTTTAGAATGTATCATAGAATAATGTTATTTAGTATAAAGGAATTACTGATAATAATCATATTTGTGCAATCGCATAACTTCTCATCGTCAGATTTCATTGGCAGTAATATTTTCCACATCTCTGGTGTTGACTTGGCGTCATTCTTATTGTAGATTCAATGAAGAAAGATTCAGCAACCAAACTGTCCCTTTACCTATGTGTATAATTTGTGTAACTGTGGCTATGCCCATCCAATTAAAGCGGGCATTGCACTTGGAGAGTTTTTCTCTAAACTAATCATCTTCATGTAGTCACTCATTCTATATTTAGCTAAATTCTTATGTTCCAATAATCTGACTATCCTCGATCTACTGGTGTGACCTGTGTAGTTGCCCTCGAGGTCATTAAAAGGTATAGCGTAGATTGCATAATTTCGTAAATTTGGGTTAATAGGGTCCTTTGGTCAGCAGAGCTTGTCCCTGAGTAAGTTTGCAGGTTCAAATGACGCCTTAATTCCTGCTTTACTACGAATCCTACATAGGGTTTAAGGTGTCCCTTTTATGGTAAGACTGTAGATACGCTCAATTCTTCCTTATTTGCGTTATTCTCAATAGTTTCATTACTATTTGTTTCCTTTCCTTCTGACCTTTTGTGATCTTTCCTTACGGATTTTAAGGGATAGTTATTTAACAGTAACGCTTCTACTATCTGTTTTATTTCATCTTTTAGGTTTCCTGACGTACTGCTCAGAGTTATTGCTTGGTTTATTCTACCTTTCATGACCTCAACCGTGTTAACCTCGAAATCACGCACGACTCTATTAGGGTTCTTCTCAACAGCCTGTCCGATATAGAGGTCACACAATGATTTCCTCAGCATATATTCAATCTATCTTCATTTCGTTCTGTATTTTTTTGTTGGGTTATAGGTTCTCGGATAGATACCTAGATTACCATTCAGCTCATCCATTAACCACCAAAGTAACTGTGGCCAAGAATCTGATCAACAGAGCCAAACGTCTAGTTACTGAGGAGGAAGATATTAGCAAGGAATTAAAATTGGTTCAATCCACTCTTGAATCAAATAATTATCCAAAATCCTTCATAAATAGATATTTAAAATGTGAAGATAAGGATGAATCAAAACCTGTTGCTAAGAATTGGGTTAGTACAGCGGTGATTCCTTACCGCAAAGAAACATCCGACGAAATAAAGCGAATCCTTAACGACCATAATATACGAGTGCATTTTCGTGCATCAAACACCTTACGCTCATTACTGGTTAAGGTTAAGGATAAAATAGAACAAGAAAACCAGCAAAATTGTGTATACCAGATCAATTGTGGGGATTGTAACGCCGTATATGTAGGAGAAACTTCCAGACAGGTAAATGTAAGAGTGAAAGAGCATAAACAATGTGTAAAGGTGGTTCCAAAGACCTCTGCAGACTTGAAGAAGCTAGAAAACAACTCAGCGATTGCACTGCATTCGATAGAAACGGGACACAAAATCGACTTTGATAAGACTAAGGTTTTACAGAAAGGTTTTGGTTCATATAAAGAAAGACTGACTGCAGAAGCCCTACATATATGGGTGAATCCCAACAGTTTGAACAGACGTGAAGGTGTGATCTTAGCTGATGCATGGCAAATCCTGACTAATAAATAAATTGGAAATGTTTTCAACAACTAGCCACACTTGATCAAATTCCCGATTGTCTACGTCTTTTTATGGAGAGAATAACAAATCTATAAAATTATATTATATTTGTAAAAAACATCTCAATTATTCTGTAACTAACCGGTCAAATCTTGATCACAGCTCATATGAGAATAACAAATGTTTTATGACTGTTCACCCACACACACACACACACACCATTGTATACTGCATATACTCATATATATTTTAACAAAAGTAGACTAATTTTGAAAGTCTGAGGTCAAATTTTGATCACAGTTCATATTAAAATTTTGTTTTGTTTTGTTTACTATACCTATTGATAGCTGTTTATTGATTCACATGACTGGACAAACAATTTAAAAGAGATGTACTTTTATATATAAACATACTATTTTATTTATTTATTTATTATACATGTTGATGACTGTTGCATGACTCATGATTGGACAGAAATTAAAAAACATGAGTTGTTCCTTTTATATATAAACCTCTGTTTATTTTAATTCGATTAATTTCCCTGAAGAAGTTCGGACCAGATTGCCGAACGAAACGTTGGAATTAATCATTTCAATTTCGCTGAGATTTTACAAATATAATTTTATAAATCTCCACTTAATGCTATAGTCAGACAAATATTTCTCTCCAATAACTCTGATTTATGACGTAATCTGTCAGTGTAGTTAATTATGATCAAGAATGTAAATAGCAAAAAAAAAATAATAAAGAACAATATTTAAAAATGATTATTTTGAATATTCCTCCTTATTTCTTTTTTTTAAAAAAAATTTTCTATTGTCACTAATTTGCCTACCTGAATTCCGTTTGTATACAAATAGGTGACCGTTTGCACAGGCAACAAAAATGTGTACATCGAAGTGCAGGATACTGTTGATAGCGTGGGATAAACTGATTTTTTGGCGTAATCTACTTGTCTTCAAATTGTCAGTTGCATAGAACATGAAAATGCTGTGTGAAAAGACAAACAAACAAGAATAGAGAGGAATGAATGTGAAAAGACTAAAGTTTGCTGAAATACTATTATATGTATGTAAATATATATGACTTTTCTTTTCGGAAGTAGAGAAGATGATTAATGGTTATCTTGACAACAATTAACGTCATTCTCCAGTGAAGCTGATGGCCTGGAAAGATTAGCAATAAGCAATTCTTGGAAGATCTGTACTTCGCCGATGATGATATATGTCTGATCTCCCACAAACTGGAAGATATGCAAGTGAAAAGCAACAAGTTGGCAGAAGAAGCATCCAAAGAAGATAGGACTTCAGGTGAACATAGAGAAGACAGAGGTGATGAAGATTCCTGGGCAACACCACCAACAGCAACAACAACAACAGACAACAATCAGCATAAATGGGAGAAATCTGAAAGAAACAACCTCCTTTACCTAACTGGGAAGCAAGGATCGGGAAAGCAAGACAAGCTTTCACTACTCTCAAGTCTGTGTGGAGGTCAACAGCACTCAGGATCAAAAATAAGATCCGGATTTTCAACTCCAATGTGAAGTCAGTGCTACTATACGGATCAGAGACTTGCCCAGCGCGTCATAAAGAGCATCTCAAACAAACTACAGACCTTCATTAACAGCTGTCTCCGCTCAATACTCAAGATCAGATGGCCGGTCATAAAAGATCAGCAACAGATATCTCTGGCAATGAGCGAACCAACCCAGCAGGAACCGATTGTGAAACAAATAGGCAGGAAGAAATGGAGATGGATTGGCCATACTCTGAGGAAACCATCAAGTGACATCACTAGGCAAGCCATCGCTCGGGTGGAACCCGAAAGGGAAGCGGCGAGTTGGTCGTCAGTGCAAGGGTGATTTGGAAGAGGTCATGTGAAGAGGAGATGAAAGCGTGTGGGCGGACTTGAAGACAGGTGAAAACTCTAGCAGAGAACCGAAAGTAATGGAGACGCATGGCTGAAGCCCCTATGTTCCTCTAGGAATTAAAGGAAACAATAATAATAATTCTTTGAACAGGGATCAGCCAAGAATTCTGTTGCTTAACAAATATTCAAACTGAATTTAGATGTGCACTGAACATATGCTGAAGTAGTTGTTTAGTGGCATTACGCATTAGAATCTAGAGGTGAATCTGATTACGAAATAACGAGTTAGGAGGAGATCGTTTGAAGAGGGAAAGAAAGCTTATGGGCAAACATGGAAGTAATTGAAAAGGACTGCAGAAAACACGCTGAGGTGACAATGTACTGGTGAAGCTTTATGCTCCACTAGGAACATAAAGGATGAGTAATAATAATAGTGATGGTTCAAAAGAGCTGTGGCTCACTAGTCTAAACAGTTGAATGTCAACCATTGGCTCTAGCTTCGAATCCTGCTGCAGCTACTGAAGTTTGTTTAACTAGGTAGTACGCGTAACTCTTACACAATAGTTTTGACTCATTGACAACTGTCTAGAAATGCAAATGATCTTATTTTAATTTTGATTATTTAGTTAACTCACAGTGATAACTATCATGTCTATAGGTAATTTATCTCCTTTTCAAAATTAATTGTTTTCCGCTCTTTCGCTTTCAAAATGGAACAAAAAGCTTTATTCTGTAAGCTGTGTTGTTATTTTTACGGCGTTGGTTCGCTAATCTCACGCTCAACCTTCCTCCATTTCCATGCCTATTGATGGTCACTGGGTAGGAGTACACTGGCCAGGGATCCATCCTGTACGTCTTGTATGGATGGCAAGCAGTTTACCATTGAGCCAAAGACGCTTTCTTATGCTTCACCCAATTCAAATCTAATACCTCAGAAATCACGGTGATTATCGTATGCGTAGGTTGAACGAACAATTTCTAGTACCACTTAATAATGTCTTCCCTAATATAAATACAAGTGTACAGCTTGAAAATGTAGCCTTTAGGAAGGATTATTTCCTCTCTGATCAGATCTATCTTTCGCCTTATTCACAAATATTCCGTCATATTTTGCATTCATTGAAAGTAAACTAGCTAAATGGTTAATAAATTAGGTAACCACAGTGGTTTAATACCTAGAATCAAATTAGCTTTTATTAGGTGGATGGTGACTAGCAGTAGAAACCAGGATGCGCGTTTCGTTCTATTCGGGACTCGTCAGGTGAATGTACCTTCATTCCCCAAAGAATGCAGATGCATCCAGTGAGGAGTCCTGAATAGGGCGAAATGCGCATCCTCGATTCCACTGCTAGTCACCATCCACCAATTAACTTCTAATTAAATGCCCAGACATCGTCGAAACATCTGCACAAGAAGCCGACATGTCAACCTGAGACCGAGAACTTAGATCCAATGAATCGACGAGAAAATCTAGAATTCAATTAAATAATCAAATTAGCTTTGTTGACTTCCTGAATAAGTCGGTAAGGTAGCATTCAAGCTCGTCTAATTATAACTACACAACCGAGTTTTGAAATTAACGATAGTTTCATTTAGAAAATGAAATAATTCAGATCAAATTATGTGATCTGCTTGATACCATAAAAGGATAATTAAGAAAACATATTTTGATTTATATATGTCTAAACCAAGTTGACTTTTAACAGTTTGAAAACATTTGGTCATTGGGTATATGATATTCATTATAATAAAGGTTTCTTGTATTTCCCAGTGAATGAAAGAAAAATGAAACGATACTCTTGTTTTTACTGATGTTTCACTATTTAATGCTACTAATAGCTTCATCAAAGTAGTGTTATTAAACCAGAATTTACAAAATCTCCTCAGCTTATATATAACAACTTAATCATCGTTCCTCAGCATGAGGTCATTTTTCGTTGTCAAGTTGGTCAATTGGTAAAGGTAACAAAACCAGGTGTAGATTGTTGGATTTGATAAGTGTGTAAAATTTTAAAGGCAGCATGTGTTTACATAAAGAAATTGCTTATCACATTCGTGTTGATTTTGTCATTTCATGCAAGAGACCGGGAGTGTTGTAATCAGGTCAAATTCTGTTTTAGTCCATCACTCCTATTCAGACAATTTGGATTCCACTTGATATGAAGTGCTGGCTTCTGATATTAAACGTTCTTTGTGATTTCTGAAATGCTTTTTCTGGATGATAATTTCAATATTGTCAAAATCAAATTTGTGGCCTGATTCGATAGCATATAGACCTTTGGTTGATGATTTTTCAAGCTTTTCCAATTCAAATGGATTTCTCGGTGGTCGAACAGATGCTCTACGGTGTTCATTTCTTCTGATTTTGATTTCTCGCTAGCGATGTTTGTCCCATGTATATCGCATCACATTCCAAGCATTTTATTTTATAGACACAATTGGATAGAGAATCTTTAGGGATTTGGTCTTTTATATGGACAAGGTTGTTTTGCAGTGTGTCTGATGTTTTGAAGAAAACTCTGATATCGAGCTTATTGAGTACTCTTCTGATATCGTCTGACGTCTCCGCTGTGTATGGAATGACAACTGTTGAGATCCATGTTTTCGGAATACGTTTTCGACCATCCTTAATGTTAGTTTTGAGTTTGATAAAGCTATTAGCATTAAACAGCGAAACGCCAGTGAAAACAATATCGTTCTGTTTTTCATTCATTAGGAAATGCGAGAAACCTTTACTATAACATATTTTGATTTGAATAATTTTAGTTTCTGGAAGAAATTTTGATGAAATTTCACCTCGAATTGTACAAATTGCAAACAGCGAATTAATTTGCAAATTAATAAATGAATTCCATATTCAGTTGGAAGTGGCTACTAGTCTAGGTGTGCGTTGGTGGCACAGCGGTAGAATGCTCGCCAGGCACGCTCAATGTGCTTCGAGGTTCGATCCCCGGCCACAGACACGCTCCTTTACCTCGCTAAGCTAACAGTAAAACTGGTAGAGAGGCGAGTTCTCTGACTGTTGGTTTGAGCCAGTCATGCAGAAGGGCGGGGAAGGGGCTAAGTTTGCTGGTTGAGGCCCACGAGACGCCAACAACCAATGGCTGCAGACTGTTGGTAATATGGTTTATAACTGTTTTCAATGACACCCGACTTCTTTTTTAATAGTCACGTTGCTGTTTCCAATGCAACCATTTTGAAAGTACTATATGCAAATATCCCCTGACGCTATGCCAACGCACTCCTTCACCTTGATAAGCCAGTAATAAGACTGGTAAAGAGGGCATGTTGGGCATAAAGCTAGTAACCCCATCCCGTAAAAATAAACACCACTGCTACAAAAACTTCAAGTCTATAGCTTGAAGCCCTATGTTCCACTGGGAACGTAAAAGGAATAAAAGAAACTAGTCTAGGTGCTTCATTTTGATATTAGATCACCTGGTTCAAACTGGCCACCAAAATCTATTCAAAGAACGTTTAATGCGCGTAAACTACAAGTCATCTTTTCTACACGACCGATAGTGATTCCCATTATTGAATAATGAAGTACCTAGACTAGCCACTTCTAATTGTATCTAACAATTCAACTGAGATTGTGGAGGAGCGAGTTATATTGGCCATTGCTCTAGGAACTTGATTGTTTTTGCTGTATAGGTAGTTGTTATGTTCGTTGTATAATAACAATCAATATGATTATGAGCATTAAATTGTGTTTAAAACATCATCCAGTAAATAATACTGTTTCATTCTGTTTGATATATCCAACAAACAAACTAATATGAAATTAATTCGAAAACTGTGAATTTGGTTTAATGTATATATTACCAGTTCTCTCAAGTAGCTAACCGGAATTCTAGTGATTCCAACTGATTTAGTCGCCTGAACTAAGTCGAACCAGCTGCACCTTTGATGAGCTCGACTCTGAATGAGATAGACAGCCGTCCAGTTTTTTAGATCACTTACATCTGACTGCCTGGCTGGCAACCATTACTGGTTCATGTGGGTGGCATTCAACTACTCATATCAACCTATCAGTAGTAAATAGCATCATGCAGCATTATAAAGCTTTATACATATTTAGCTTACCTTCCTTCTTCCGTACCTAACCACATCAATGGTTGGGCTGGTCTGCTAAGATAATTGTTCTTTCCTTGACAGTTTAAATATCCTTCTACATAGTGAAAAGTTAAAATACAGAATAAAGCAGGTAATAATGTGAATTATATAATTAAATTATGATTAAAATAACTTCGCTGAAGTCATTTCAGTGAGAAATGAGGTGGGGAAAGCTATTAATCTAAATGGTTGTAAACTATATACGCAACGCGTTTTAGAAATGGCAAACCATTCAGCCAATGAGACGCAATCTAATGGACTAGGAAAGCCCTAAATTCTAACTCCTGTGGGATGAAACAACTGTCCAGTAAATCATAGTTTTCAATAATTCTCGGACTCATATCAATCCTTGATCTAATAAAGTTTGTTTTTCGGTTTATATTTAACCGAAATGCTTGGTCTTTGTTGAATTGTGCTCATTTCTTCCTAAATGGGAATCGTTATCTGGATGTATCTGCATCCACAGTGATTGAGGAAGTTTCCGTCGATCAATCAACAGGAATTGCTAATTAACTAAACTGAATAACCACTGATATCTGCTTCACTAGAATTGGTGCATATAACCCAGTTGCCTAGTGGGTAATAATCTAGTGTTTGAAACGACTGGGACTGGGTTCAAGTTTCAATAGGAGTGCAGGTATATCCGGGTGATGAGTTCCAAATGGGATGAAATATGCGGCCTAAATAACACTGTTAGCCAACACCAACAAGATAGCAAACCTTATTTAATGTATGTAGATGAATCAAGCAGATTAGTTAAATTTTAACGAGTTGATCATGGATTGATATCAGTTAGAGAAATATTGAAAACCAGGGGGTCCTGGACAGCTGCTTCATCCTAGTTTGGGAATCGTCGGCAGTACATTGGTTGGGGTCGCGATAAATCACGAATTGGTAGAAGTTAGAACTCATGAGCCATTGAATCGGGTCCCAGTGGCTGAATGGTATACCAGCCAGCTCGCCTTGTAACCGGAAGGTCTTGGGTCCGAGCCCTGGCAGTGAGTGCGTACTGCCGACGATTCCCAAACTAGGATGAAACAGCTGTCCAGTCCTTGGTGGTTTTCAATGGTCCTGTTACTGATATCAATCCGTGATCAACTTGTAAAAACATAACTAACCTTTACAAACGAAACTATAGAAGATTAGTTAAAGGTAAAATAGGTGTTAGAGAGTAGTGCGTTGCATATTATTTTATGTTGTATGTAACGACAGAAGACGAGAGACTTGGTCAAAGAATGTTTATCTGTAATTTGGTACCATTATATAACGAAATTATATACACCTTATCTTCAAATCACCATTTGCATAGATCCGCGGTGTTGTGCTACTTCCGGCCTTCACATTGTGTTTCTTTGTGTTCCTTTCTCATCTCCCACGTATCTCCGCAACTCTAAATCATTTGTTTTCCCTGACTTCAAATCTATCTCCCTGCTATTTGATATTATGTAGTGATGAACATCTCTTTAGATATATACACACTACTGATAAATCTTATCAGTAGCATACACCATATATATATAAATGCGCCAGCAGGGAGAAGTAGGCAGGAAATATAAACAGTTATGATATCACTTATACATCACAGGTGTTAAACAGCTTGCACATTATGTTAGAAAGCGAGATTTGCATGTTTTTATTTCATTCACCATAAAGTACAACATCAGCAGGCACAATGCAACAATGGCTTTCTCTTCTAAAAAGGAGGACATCATATATACATATATATACATATGTATATATATATATATATACAGCCAAAGGAATTTCAATTTATTTGCACCTAGGCGACGGATACTTTTTATAAATAACTTTCTGATAAGTCTGTAAATATTATAAATGTGCTTGGCGCTTTCTTTGCTTCCCTGAAGCGTCTAAAATGAAGAGAAGAGCAAAACAAGGACGCCTACTGTCAGAGATAATCTTAAACATTTAATCGGTCAAAGGCAGCAAGTAGACTGACATGCGTTGGAGCGAGGAAAAGCCTTTAGAAGACCTATTTTTCGCGGCTAATATATATGTTTCATGATGAACAAACTCGAAGATTTACAAGTACAAATAACAACATGGCGACAAAAGAGGTAGCATAGACAGGACTTCATGTGAACATGGAGAAGACGGAGGTCATGGTGATGCTACCCGACTAGGAGCAACAAGCGCCAATAAGCATCAGTGGGAGAAATCTAAAAGAATTTGTCTCTTTCACTTATTTCATGGATAATCCCCATCCAGGTATTAATGAAAAGAAAACACTTAGTTCAGCGAAGAGTCTCTTTTCGGCGAATTCATTTGCTTAGCTGTACAATCGCAAAAATATATGTGTTAATTTATATGTATGTGTACATTAAGTTTGTCAAACAAAAATACAATTGGTTTTGCTTATTTTGACTAAAAAGGTGAAGATTGGTAATTGGAGTTACGTAGTACAAAATCGGTCAAGAAAATTGGGTGTTAATGAAATTAGGGTAGTAACAAAGGTGATGAGTTATCACAAACAGTTGTTAAAAAGAAGTTATGTAATAATGTGAATAGTTTGATGATTGAGTTTTACTCAGGATACACTTATCTGATTAGCGCTGTTTGAATTACAGACAGTAAAGATGAGGGTAGGGAAAAGCAATTATAGAGATCTGCCTCACATAACACTCATAAGGAACCTGATTAGAATTCGCTGCACAGTTTTTTAATTAGTGATTCTGCAGGGCTCAGTGACTTTGCGCACACATCATGTAAAGCATTTTCATCAGGCTATTGTATACTCTCATCAATGTCTACATTAACTCAAGTTTCCAGATCACATGGCTAGGTAGAAAGCATAATCAACAAGGAGCTCTGGTAATGAGGTAAACGACAGCTTAAAAACCAACAGATATGTGGAGAGAAATGGAGATGAATTGGATATACGCTGACTAGACCGTTGTGTGTTATCATAAGTGAGGTCCTCGAGGGAATCCTATCTGGCAAGCAACGAGTTGTGTGTGCGTGATATGGAGAAGATCACACGAAAAGGAAACAGAAGTTTGTGAGCAGTTATGGAACCATCCAAAATGATGGTGATGGACCGAGCATATTGGAGCTGTGCTGCTGGCTTCCTGTGTTTCAGCCGGAACACAATGAATGCATAATAAATATAATTTTGAGCGATCTCTGACAGATTAGTCATTGTGCAGAGACTTAAGCTATTGCATTTCCAACTCATGTATGCCGGAGTGAGTAATATATATAAGGACAACGCTTTGAATATTCGAACTTCAAAAGTTCCACAACCCCATAAGAGAGAGGCGGGTAATGCGAGCAAATGCAATATTCTACGAGTGATTCATGACTTTACTGTATAGAGCTTGCAACTGTCGGTTTTTCTTGTTTCGGTGATCAGTGCGTGGTGAGGTATAATTCCCTTTGTAAGTAATACAAATGGTCAGCGCCTTCATTAATTGTAAACATATCTTTGTTCATTCCTATTAGATGGCTGAAGATAGTTGGTGGGAAATCCTGCTTCTAGATCTGGTGTTTACTGGCAGTTGTCAGCAAGACTTGTCTGTAACAGTATAGGAGCGGCCATATCGTTAAATACTGCAGTCAGAAGCCTCACAAACAAGCTATTTGGACAGCTACCGATCATTTGTATAAATATATTGGGTACACTGACTGCAAATTTGACTGATAGAACTCAGTGGGCCTAAAGGTTTAATAAACGTTACAGCAGTAGCTTCTCAGTTACCAGCTATGAGATAATTCATGAATCTATAAGGCTCACAGAATGTGTGATATTTTAGTGTAGAACTTTACACAGGTGTACAGTAGCTCAGCCTGCCACAATGCAGGTATCATGCAAAAGTAGGAGTAAAAATTCATATTAACTCCAATGAACAGAAATGTATACGATAATGAATAAAGACATGGAGAAACATTAGCATTTTAATGAATCTCTGAGAGATTAAAACGAGTGAATGCAACTGCGCCTGTGACAACACCTTAAGTCATATTGTAACGACAGATGAGAAGTGCCTGGCAACAGATCGTTTATTGAGAAAATCAACAGATATTTATAGATTTTTCTGTACATTATTATTAGCGTTACTGTTAGCAGAGAGGTAACGTCTTCCGATTGGTTATCTCCATCACCCATGAGTTTTTCCTAACCAGTGGCTTGGGATATGTCCACATGGTCTAGTCATCTCAGTCACCATAGGTTTACAACCTAATTAATTGGTTTACCCTCCTCACGAATCACTACTCGAAACCTTAATATTAGGCACCATATCATGCCGCTTAAAACGGGGAATAGAACACAAACATCTCAGGTCTTTCACATTTACCAGCCATGTCTTACAGCCATAAATGAGGACAAATAGAACTAATCTGCATTAGCAGACATGTCCTTTAATCGATTGTCGGATATCCCGTCTATACCAGAGGTGAGGTAAGTTGGAAGATTTCACACGACTTGTTAGTATTCGTGCTGAGATTTCGTCGGTCATCAGTTCTTTAGGGCTGATGGAAGTGGTTAATACGCTTCTGCCTGTCTTTGAACTGTGAGTTGTTACAGTCTAGTCCTGCAGGATCATCTTACATAAGATAGGGGCGAATCACATGATAAACATACGAGGATTTTCACTCAAGGTTTTCAAAGGTAGGCGGCGAGTACGTATGGACAACAAATATTTCGAACACTTCAGTCAAATGTGCTATAAAACCTTCCCCGGGGTCAAACCAGTCTCATCTATGTGGACCGACTTCTAACCTCATCACTTATATCACAAATTTTATCAAAATCAAGCAATTTAGCAAGAGTTAGTAGTAGTGACATACAGAAAACTCTCTTAAATATTCTCCTGTGAATGACAATTTTATCAACCAAAATGAATACAACAAGGTAAAGAACATTTACACAACAAGTGATGTAAGCTTTCCAAATTAGCCTACAAAGTCATTTTTATTCAGGCCAAGATTTTATCTGCCAACAACCAATCGATGTTTCCTTAGGACTTCGTGACCAACTTTCTTTACCATTCCCTTGAGTTCCGATTGGCTCATAGGGCTTTGTCTTATCATCTGCCTTCCTCTTCAGCTTGTACCACGATTGCCCACAATCTCCCATCTCCTCCTTGTACGGACTCCTCCATGTCAGCCTCGCACCGACGACCCACTTGTCGCTTCCTTTTTGGATTCCACTCGAGCAATGGCCTGCAGCGCAATGTCATTCGACGGCGTCCCCAAAGTGTGCCCAGTCCATCTTTACTTTCCCCTACTGTGGGAACAAACCAACCAAGAGGTTACCTGCAAAAGTATAAGTTCCGTTACCCTCCTCAGTAGCGGACTGATTAACATTTTCGTATATGTGACAGTAATTTGTTGAATTAAAAGCATAGTAGTTATCAATGTGAAGGAAATGAAATATCAAACCAAAAGAAAACTAAAAATCTCCTACAGCTGTTTACCTTTTTTCTTGTTTTCTACATTCGATTTCATATTTGTGTCAGTCTCCTTGGAAGAAGAGTTATCTGATACATTTTCAGCAGTAATCTGCTGGTTACCTTCACCTTCAGTTTCACTGATATCTGAAGAGTCGGATTCATTCGATGTCGGATCATCAGCATCGAATGCATAAGTGATAGCGACAACTGAATTCCCAGCTTCTTGTGAATCAGGTTTTATACTTTCTGATGTATTAGGCTGATGACCGTCTGTTTGATTTTTCGACTCATTTTCTACTTGTGTTTCAGTTGTCTTAGATTCGACAAGGTCACCAGAAGTTTTAGACGCTTGAAGATCATCGTCTGTTTTAGATTCATCGACATCGGATAATTTGAGTGTGGATTCTGTATTGGTTGGCGTGTCTGGTGGAGTAGTTGAATGTGAACCAGAACTTATATCCTGTGAAATACTGTCCTTTCTTTCAATTAATTCCTGTGATGTCATTTCTTGTGTCTTATGCGAAGTAATATCTAAATGTGTTTCTTCTTTGCGACCAGTATCATCTTCTTTTTCCTTTTTTGCTGTTTCGGGTGATTTTGATTGTGAACTGCTTTCTTCAAGGGCTGATTGTTCCACTTCAAGGAGTGGTGGATCTGCTGTGACTGAACGTTTCTTCTCTACAGTACATCGTGAACGCATACTTTGGCTTCCAAGACTGTAGGATGTTCTGTTATCAAAAGAAAATCAACTCAATAAGTGAATAATGAAAACTGTTAATTTTGTGATGAGATTATGAGCATACAAAAAATATAAATCATGAAGAATTAAAACATTCTAGATGTGCTTGGTGTAAAAGACAGAGAAGAATGACGTTTCTAATTAGAACACAGATTAATATTATTTGGATAACCATTTGAAACCAGGGAGTACTGAATAGCTGTTTCATACTTTCATAACACTCCTCAGTAGCAAGCACCTATGATTCCCTCACGAGGTATGCAACATAGATGGCACTGAAATAGATACAAAGTCGGAAATTAAATATCTTGGCGTCATTCTATCTGCTGATCTTTCCTGGTCGTTTGATATCTTGATGATTTCTAAGAAAATATTCCGTCTAACCTTCTATATCAAGAAGTTAAGACATTCTGAAATAAACAGACCTTTACTCTTACGATTCGTTAACTCTCGCATTCTGCTTATTATTCTCTATTATTCTCCCTTAGTTTTTCCCAAGCCACTGAAGAAAGACTATAACATATTACGCAGGATGTTAAAGGTTGTCAGCAGGGTAAGCAATGTGCCACTTAACCAGCTTGTTAATATTCTGGTCGACAGGCACTTAGACTCATGTTAAAAAATGGGCCAAATCCATTCTATCTAACTCACACCACCCTCTTCATTCACAATTCTCCCCTTGTATCTCATCACGCAGGACCAGAAGCCTATATAGAAAACTAAATGCTCACACTAGAAAGTACAAAAAGTCAACCATACCCTACTTGACTCGTGTTCTGTGCGTTAAAGAAAGCATTAGGCGTGAGACTTATAACTTATTAAATAGTCAGTAGAACAATTGGATCTCGTCATTCCAACTCATATCATTTATAGGTACAACGTTTTCTTTCTTTTCCTTTTCTCTTTTTTCTTTTTTTCTGTTATGTGCTGCTTTGTTTCTCTCTTCCTTACAAACTCTACATAAAACATTCTTCTTCGTTCTTCCACACTCTGTATATCTCGACCTTTTTATTACCGCTTACGCCAGTAAATATGCTAGTATCTACTTTTCTAACACCTTCAAACACTGTTCAATTTTGGCTTTGCTACCGACACGCTAATATGTTGTTGTCAAAACTACCTGAGATTGCCCTTAATCTATGTAGAATTTTATTTATTTTTAATGTACTAACTGGATGCAGTACTGTAGTGAAATTCTGAGAATTCCATTCTGTATCATGGGTACTGTTTTGAAATAAAGCAAATTATTATCATTCCAACATCGATCAAATCCAGAACCTTCAGTTTATCAGGGCAGTCCTCTGATGGATTCCCATGAATTGTAAATTCAACATTCTATCGATTCGAGACTTTTACAGCGATGACCAGTTGGTGTCAATGGAGAGGATTTATTCTCACCCAACCTGGTGGATACCACTGGTCACTGAAGAGTTCAAAAGTGCAATGGAATTGCTGTCCAGTACTCCATAGTTTTCGGTGGTTCTTTAGCTCATACCAGTGAGTGATAAAACTTAAAACCAACCAAATCCCTACAAACAAGCAGTTGGAGAATCAAGTCCTGTAAGCTGAATGAATAGTAAATCCACGTGTCAGCAGAATTTCGTTATTTTTGTTGATTAGTACTGGGAAAATCTATTTTTTACGAGTTGGTCACGGATTGATATCAGTTATAGAGGACCACTGAAAACCAGGGAGTACTGGACTGCTGTTTCATCTTAGTTTGGGAATCATCAGGGATTCGAACCCAGGACTTTCCAGTTACAAGGTAGAAGTTAGAATTCATGAGCCATTGAATCGGGTCCCAGTGGCTGAATGAAATGCGAGCTTTCCTTGTAACCGGAAGGTCCTGGATTCGAACCCTGGCAGTGGGTGCGCGTACTGCCAATTATTCCCAAACTAGGATGAAACAGCAGCTGTGCAGTACTCCCTGGCTTTCAATGTTTCTCTAACTGATATCAATCCGTGATCAGCTCGTAAAAACATAACTAACCTTTACAAACCAAACTATAGAAAATCTATTTTTATCAACCCTAAGTCTCCATAATTTTTCAGATGAATTTATGTAGGGTATACAGATGCTAAACTAAGTTTTCCTAGACTTTTGTGCTTAGGAATATTATTTTCCTTGAGAAGAAACGGTTTGTCGAGTCATTTCATTTCATAAATTTTACCAGGTAGATTTTGCTTCATTCCCTATGTTTCTAGAGGAACGGGATAGGATTCCACATTCCACACTCAACCTTCCCTCTTTTCCTGGCTTACTAACGGCTGGTAAACTATGTGAAGTCTAAGAGCATATCCATTGGGAATGGAACCACGACTACCTGCACGGCTGACAAATATTACACACAGTGAATCACCGACTTACACAATCGCTGAGAAATGAATGATAAAATTTACAGCATTTGTATTAATTACTATTTGTGTGAATATTTACACAATCTGTTTATTTTTATGGGAGTATTGCTAAATATCTTCACTTATAAAGAGGATTTCTGTATCCAACTGGCTGAACTTTAATAAATGTCTGTTGAAACATTCAAATCCCCCATTGATTGATTTCATTTGACTGAAGTGCATAGTCTCGGTTAGTATATCGGCTACCCTCGTGGATAATTTGATTTTGCCTTATTTTAAAGTAATGGTATTTACTTGGTAGTAGATAACAGTGGGCTGCATAATGTGCCTTTAATCTTATTTGTGACTCATCATCTGAATACATCAGCCTCCAAGCTAACGACAGTGTTCTTATTGAAACCCAAATCAATCTCCCATCGGTCCAAATGCCTTAAACCTTTAGCATAGTGGTTAAAACTTTGAAATTTGTATTGATAAGTGTTGGAATCGAGTTTCAGTGAGAATATGTTCATTTACTGGGATGCAGGTATATCCAGCTGACGGTGGAATACGCCCCCTAGATTACTTCTCTGTTCAGTGTTAACTGAATATCATCTTTGGACTCTATCAGAAATTATTTTAGAAATTCTGTATGCTTTTCAACCTGGACATTGTGTCAGACAGTTTCAAGGCAGCATTCGTACTTAAACATTTTAGTACTGTCAAAATGGAAGGATAATTTGAAAGCGAAATTCCCCAAGATTTCAACTTATTAGTTGGCTTACAGTCAGTGTAACTATTTGAATAATTTCTCGTGAATGAAATAGATATATAAACTGCTGGGAGTTGAGATCTTAGTTATGGTTTTCTAAAAAGGAAATCTGATGTTTCTCTTCAAAGATTGATCTACAGGAAACCAATATAGAGTGGTCAGTACATGAATTTTCATAGCTGGGTCACTTTGAGAAGACAGAAAAATCTGTTACACTCCTTATCCTCAAGAATAAGAAGGATACGTTCCAGTGATACAATCGACGGGGAACTGGAACGACTCACACAAGTCCTCATAGAGAATGAATATCCTCCAAGATTTATCAAGAAAAACATGAAGTTAAAAGGAAAGCCTGAAAGAACCCAGACGGTGCCGAAAAATCTGCGATTTATGGGCGTTGAATTTAAATATGATAGCACAGCTGCCGCTTTAAGTCACTTCAGTGTGTGTTTATAAATTCGCCTGCTCATGCGGAGTTAGTTATATTGGCCGCACAAAGCGCATACTTTCCGAACGCATCTTTGAACATTATCCGGAATGGTTAGTAAAAGGACAGTGCAAAACAACTACTAGCTCAGTTCTCGAGCACTTGATGAACTCAAGCCACGTCGCTCCACCAGAGTCATCTTTCAAGATCACCTACACGGTGAGGCCAAATGGTAAAAAGAATGTCACTGTGGATGTAAGTAAATGCAACCATAGAGTGTCGAGTAAGACAAAATTCATATCCTGGATTCTTCTGATCACCAGTAATATTCAAATGATACAACAATAGCCATCAACAATCACCGAAGTATCCACAGTGGCGTTGATATGTTCACACAAACTGAGCATTTCGGTTTAGTACAGTCGCTCAACTGTGAATTCAAACTGGCTACAAAAGATAGTAGAATACTGTACTTTGCATTCAACAAAAATTATGAAATTTTGTCGTGTATAATAAAAAATCTATTCAAGTATTGGTTTGTAGGGATTTGGTTGATTGGTTACAGGATTTCATCATGAGCTGACATTGGTTAGAGAACCATTGGAAAACCTGGAAGTACCACCAGACAGCTGTTTCCTCTGTTCTAGTTCGAGGCACTTCATCAGTAGGCACCTACCACTAGGATTCGGTGGCGCCTTCCGGTTACAAGGTGAGCTGGCTCGTAGACCATTAAGCCAATGGAACTCGATCCAATGACCAGTCCATGAATTCCAACTTCTGCCAATTCTCACCGAAGACACTGGTTAGTAGTCGCGCTAAGTCATGATTTGGCAGAAGTTGGAATTCATTCACTGGTCATTGGATCGGGTTTCAGTGCCGTAATGGTCAACGAGGTGACTCGCCTGGGTTAGAACCTCCTGTATTGGGTGTTTACTGTGAATAGTCCTAAACTAGGATGGAGAAAACAGCTGTCTAGTTGTACTTCTAGGTTATCCATTGGTTCTCTAACCGATGTCAGCTCATGATGAAACCAAAAAAACTTAATGTTGACCGACTGTAAGACATTAATTGACTTCTGTCTAACAAGGAAGCAAATATAAACATGTGGAACTGCGATGAGGTCTAATGACATTATTTTTTGTATTCCTTTCAGATTCAAAGATAACTTAAGGCTTCAATGTTGAGATTTGAAGCTTCAATGACTGTGACGCTATTTTACGGGGTTGGGTTGCCAGCTTCAGGTTGAACCTTTCCTCTTTTACGGGCTCAATGGAGGCCAGAGAGGGTTTAGGAGTACATCGGGTTAGAGTCGAAGATTCACTACATGCATGTTTACTGCGTATTCTACCAGTGAAGAAACGATGAACATTAAAATTTTACAGAATGATTTAAAAATACAAAATATGTGAAAGGTTTAAGCTAATATGAACTAAATATTTTTGAAACTAACCGTCTCATTCCAGGATGAATGAATCCAGGTATAGCGCATATACACGTGATTCTTGAAGTACAACCAGACAATGGAATATTAAAATAGATACTAGGCTTTGGATGAGCAGTGAAAAGGCAGATATAACCAGTATAACCATCTGATGCACATATCCAAACATCACATGATCCTTCAGTCATAACAGGAGATGCTTCGATGACAGATGCACAGGAGAGCTGAATTATTTCAGTAGAATTCAGGAAAAAAAACAGAGTTAATCACAACACAAATAACTTAAGCAGTCAGCAGATATACAATAAAATAATAAAAGAAATGATGTTTTTATTGTGTATTTTGTAGTGAGTTGTAATGTAAAGTTACCAAGTGTGATGGCATATATTGCTGATTGGCTAATATAATTACCTGGATACCACTATATATGTAAATCTGCAGTACCTGTTAACCAGATATTTTTTACATATTTTTAAAATTTTTTATTACAGCTTGATTCCACACAGTATTTTGGTACAAGCATGAAATTTTCAGCGTGTGATATCCGTAGCCCGAATTCAGTAGGCCGACCAGGGATACCATTTGTGCGTTGGCCAGGGATCAAACCTCGGACCACGGGCATGGTCGGCAAGCGTCCAAACCTCTGTGCCACCGACGAAGTTATTTAGAGATACTGGACAGCCATTTGTTTCTGTTGTCTAGGTTTGATGTCACCAGTGGTGTACTCGGCTTTGGGTCAGTTCAGGCAGAGAAATCACTCCAAACCAGCTGAACTCTGACTACCTATCATTCACTTGTTATATCTTTAGAGTCAGTTTTAAGCTCAAGAAGTTCTTCAGTTTAATCTTAAAGTGGAGAAACTGAATTTGCATAAGAGGCAAAGCACTAAATATGACCACTAGCAAAATAATCACATTATTGATACTAAACAGTTAAACTTGGAAAAAAAGCACAAAAGGAATTAAACTTTTTTAATGTGGTTGTGGTGTCCTAGCTGGATAGTTAATTTGTGAAGCTTTCATCGCCCTACTAGGCGACATCTTCAGCGTATACTACAATTTGAAGTGAGCTTTTAGATTTATCCATGAGTTTATTAGTCATGTCTCCTGGTGGATGACCTTGGACGTGATTGGCTGTTTTTGTGTGTTTTCATACCCTCTAGGCTACTTGCATTCAAACTGATTGTTTCCTTTACCTGAAGTTTGACACTTTGTGTGTGAGTTTTACGTCTTATCGGTTGATAAATTTTGTCTATCTCGATGTGTCTATTGACTGATGATTCACTGGAATACCTGCTTTCAACTTGTCATTTCCTATAGGGGTTCCACGGGATGGCTGGCCTGGAGTGTGATGTGTATGACGTTAGGAATTGACGTCACACACAAACCAACAAAATCACTTCACTCAGGCAGCCGTGTATCAACCAAAAGAACCACCAGAGAAAGAAGATAAAACCAACACCATCTACAAAATAAGCTGCAACAACTATGAAAAACACTACATTGGCCAAAGTGGACGTCCCCTTCGTCTTCGTATCCATGGACATAAGCTGTCAAAATAAGTGACATCGACTCCCTCAAATCACTACATACAGACAACCACGGATGTCAATTCGACTGGGACAACCAACGTTCAACCATTAGACAGAGGAAACAACAAGAATGCTAGAGAATTTTTGGAAGCCTAGTATTCCAGTGAATCATCAATCAATAGACATATCGAGATAGACAAAATTTACCAACCGATAAGAAGGGAATCTCACACACAAAGAGTCAAAGTTCAAGTCAAGGTAACAATCAGTTCCAATACAATTAGCCTACAAGATGTGAAAACACACACAAAAACAACCAATCACGTTCAGTGTTACCCACCAGGATAGATGATTAATAAACTCGTGGAGAAATCTGAAAGCTCACTTCATGAAATTGAAGTATGCGCTGCAGATGTCGCCTAGTGGGGCGATGAAAACTTTGCAAATTAACCATCCAGCTCAGAGAACACAACCACAATGGAATTAAACTTTATTCCTTATTCTAAAGCTACTGAAGTTAGTAATGAATTGAAAGTCATCATGCGGTATAGTGCCGTTTATAGTGACTTTATCTATTATTATTCAGCCTTTTTAATTATTTTTCATTCTAGAAGTTAACTGGTGGATGGTGACTAGCAGTGGAATACAGGATAACGCTCACTTCGTCCTATTTGGGACTCGTCAACTGGATGTACTTGCATTCCACAGTGAGTGATGATGTCCAGACCGAGGCTCGAACCCAGTGTCCGTAGTTTCAGGTGCCAAAGCGTTATCCAGCAGACCACTTGGGCCTCAAGAGCCACCTCTTGTGCAACAAGCCATATTAATTATTTAATTGAGTTTTAGATTTTCCCGTCGATTGATTGGACCGAAGTGCTCGTTCTCAGGTTGATCCTGAATTTCACCGCTAGTCACCACCCTCTACTTAACAAGTAATCTTCCTAATCATAAAATCTACACTCATAGGTGTTTTCAAATATGTGTTTTACAGTTATTCGTTGGATATTGGCTAGTGATGGAATCGAGGATGAGCATTTCCTCCTTTTTGGGATCCAGTTGACTGCAGTCCATGTTAATCATCTTTGCTTTTGGTTTAGTCCTGGAGCGACTACTTGTCTCTAGACTGTCCGTGAGAGGTATTTGTTCTGTTTGATTCGTGCAGACAAAATTTTGATCCCAACCTGTCAGAAATACTCTTTCCGGGTAGTCCAAGTTTGTGTTTTTGGTCCATTCATTTTGTACAGCATGCATTTTGTACCCGGTACACTTTTGGAGTGTATAGCTGCCGGATGGCGTTGTTGAGGTTTGTATTTTTGCATTTCTGGTATAAATTATTATTCTTGAATGATGACACAGATTGACTCACGCAGAATTGTGTTTCGATAATGTTGAAGTATAATTTTAGACTCTGCGTTATTCGTGGAAGTTTAGCAAGTTATGCAGAGGAATGCATCCATTTGTTTCCCGCGTTCAGAGCAAAGTACTCGGGTTCCAGTCATCTAACTGTCATATGTTGAAGTGAGGAACTAACAAAATGTCCCCCCCCCCACCAGTTTACATCCATATTTATTCAGAAAATATTCTGGTATACTCGCCTCTTTTTGAAATTTATTTGACTGAAGAATCTCTGCTCCCTACACGATTATCAAACACTTAGGTTTATTCTACAGTCTTTTGTTGAACTCAAGGGCTTCTTTATGCTAAGTATAATGGAAAGCCATGACAACTCCTACAGTTCGCATTGTTTTAAGGGCCGTATTTCATACCAACATGGCTGAAGATATTGTATAACAATGATATGTGTCCAAAAGAAACTGTGTGAATTGAAAATTGAGAATTCGATTTATACTTATTCATTACTGCTTCAGTATTTCGACTATTTAATTATATTTTCAAAGAAATGAGTAGATTTCCATTGGATCACGGATTAAAATCAGTTAGAGAAATACTAAAAACCAGAGATTACTCGAAGACAGTTTTTTCCTAGTTTGGAACCATGACTCCACTGAGTATTGAACCTAGGACCTTCAGATTACGAGGTCAGCCCCTTGACTTTTCAGCCAATGGGATGGTATTCAGTGACCAATCCACGAAGTCTAACTTCTGTCAGTTTTCGATTTATAGCTCCACGGCCAACCAGTGTCATTGGCGAGTATTTCTCCCCACATTCCCATATAAGTTTGTATGAGATTATGAGAAAGAGAAGACGTTCAGCGAAGAGACTCTTTTCAGCGAATTCATTCACATAGCTGTACAATCGCATTTATATACAATTATTTTGTGTACGTGTGTATGTGTGCAAGGGGTTTGTCAAGTTTAGATAATTAATCAGGTAATACAAGAATGATCTAATATAGAAACAAGATTAATTAGACAGCAACTAAAGTAAGATTGAGTTAGTAAGTTAGATGACGTAATATAACTGACTAAAATGTTTCAACTTAGGTCAGGATAGCAACAGAGGTAATTACAGATAGAGACTAAGTAGAAGTGGGGTAGAGAATAATGCCATTTAAATTAGAACTAAAATTGAGCAAATAAGTTGCATGACGTAGCATAAATGACTAGAAATTGAGCGTTGGTCAAGTCAGTAACAATGGTAGTGAGGTGTAGGAATTAAATCGGGTGGGGGTAGAGAACAAGAAAGTTTAAAATGTAAAATATTACATTTGAGAAAACAAAATAATACTAATGAAGAGACAGAAGAAAAGAAGTAGAATTTACTTGTCGGGTATTAAGACAGATTACGTCCATTGCAAGTGTAGTGATTGAACGAACTTCTTCTGTATGCAGAGTTCAGGACTTAGCAAGTGAATCGCCATTGCTTCTGCAGTTTAAAGAAGTCTGATTCGTACACCTTTAGGAAAACTACTTCTTACTCTGTAGACGACTTTGAAGTTTGTTTGGGGTGTAGCTTGGTGTCCGGATTCTATCAGATGTTCTAAGGTGGATCTGTGGGGTCATCGATTTTCTCCTTTGTAGAACCATGTTGGTAAGTGTTCGGTGATACGTTTGGAAAGCGAGCGCTGGGTACGGCCGACATACCTGGCTACACACGAGCAGGTAAATTGATAAATACACATTGATGAGGCCAGCAGTGGTAGCTTATCCTTCACGTTCAAATGAATCATAGGTTTTGTGGAGAAGGTTAGTCGTAGTTCAGCTGGGAAAAAGGTCTTCTTAAGTGAGCGCGACAGTCAATTTTTTAGTGTTTCTGCAGATATATCTCCATTAAATTGAAGATTCATGTAGAGTATTTTTTTGGGACGCTAAGCATGGGCGGCTTTTGTGGTCTTGGATTCATAGATTTTGCAATAAATCTTTCTGGATAACAATTCTCTACGAGGATTCTCCAGTTCGTCTTCTATGGTGTCCGGGGTGCAAATTCTGTGAACTCTGTTGCTCTATACTAATTCAATCTTACTTTAGTTGCTGTCTGATTAACCTTATTTCTAAATTAGATCATTCTTGTACTACCTGATCAATTATCTAAACTTGACAAACCTCATGTACACACACACAAATAATTATATATAAATGCGAATGTACAGCTATGTGAATAAATTCGTCGAAAAGTGTCTCTTCGCTGAACGTCTTCTCTTTTTCATATGACTCAATATATGAGATTAGTTGGCCTGATGCTAGAAATTGTGTAATTGAGGCAAGACATGAGTAGGACAGCTTTGTGTTAATTCACACATGATATCTAATGTATTTCAGTAAATGTAAGTCTACCCCTAAGGAAAGAAACCTACAAGGCATTAACTAAACACAATCCATATGTTGTGTAACTGTGAAACTATTGCTAAAGTCAAAGTTATCGGAACACTTGTACAAATAAAATAAAATAAACTGAATGAAGAAAAATAGAGTAAAGCGCACCTGTTTTTCTTTGTTCAGAGATAATTCTACATGACAAAAAGTTCAAATATTACCTTTTCATGTAACATAAATATACCTTTCGATAATCACGTAAGTCATTATGTAATCATGAAGATTTAGACATGTGATAAAAGCGAGGATTGATTTACTTCGTCTTCCAAAATGTATTACAAAGTTTCAACTTAATGAGGTTTCTTTTTTTTATTATAGCTTGACTCCACAGTGTATTTTTGGTACAAGTATGGAATTTTCAGCATGTGATATCGTTAGCCCAATTTTACAGGCCGACCATTGATATTGGGTGTGCGTCGGCAGGGGATCGAACCCCTGACCATGTGCATGGTCTGCGAGAGTCCTAACCGCCGTGCCACCGACGCACAAAAAGCCGGCAACATTCGGTATTCCCAGCCGGTCACCCATGCAAGTACTAACTGGGACCAACGTTGCTTAACTTAGGTGATCGGACGAGAACCGGTGCTTTCAACGTGGTGTGGTCACCGAAAAAAGGTGTGTCGGGGGCGGGATTTGAACCCACGCCTACATCGTGGACCCGAACACCCAGAAGATTACTCTTGAGTCTGGCACCTTAGAGCGCTCGGCCACCCTGACCTCCTTACATTGATGATAATGATAATGACCGTACCAGGTCAATTAACACAGCAGAATAGATCATAAGTATTCTGACATACTGTATGGACATACAGCAAACTTGATAGTCATTCAGTCAACATGATTTAGAAACAGAAGGCATAAGGATGAGTCAAAAAGAAAACGATTTCAAGATTCATCACGAAATGACTGCAGTTAGAGAGGCATTGAAAGCCAGGAAGTACTGGATAGCCATTTCGTCCCTATTTGAGTTTCTTCAACAGCATGACTAGCGGGATCTACCATGAGGACAAATACCCACTGATGACACTGGCTAACGATCGCTCCAGAGTATCACTAACTGGTGGAAGTTAGATTAGATGGGCCACTGGGCTTCGTCCCAGTGGTTGAATGGTCTACGAGTTATCTTTATGCCAGTTTACGTGCTCTTGCGGAGCTGAGTACATTGGCTGTACCATGCTCCAACTTGAAAAACGCACTCGTGAACACTATCCAGCCTGGCTAGTTAAAGGAGATCGAAAACGTGTACACAGTTCAGTGACAGAACATCTGGTCAATTCAGGACATTCAGCGCTATTCGAGAAATCCTTCAAAATAATATGCAAGATTCAGTCAAACCTATTAAAGGGAGTGAAATTAAGACACCTGGGCATAGTCGAGGCACTAGCTATCCAAAAGTTCAAACCCACGCTTTGTATCCAAAAGAAATACGTCCAACCCTTGCCCTTCCACGGCCATCATAAACATGTAATTCTTTTAGTAATGACCATCCCATCGCCTTTCTTATACAAACCTCCTGCTTATTCATGTTATTTTTTTCAACTCCTACTTACACTACCATATTTTCATATCCGAACTTCCTGTTTGTCTTGTCATTTTATTATTTCTACATATTTAATCCCTGATTGCATAAACAACTGTTTGTCACATTAGCTGTGATCCCACTAGATTTTTCATCCAAACATCGTGTATATTTTTGTTATTTCTACATTTCTAACCCCTAATTGCACAATATATCAATCTTCTCAGTAATTATGATGCTACTTTGTCTGAGCTTTATCTGTCCCCTTATTTATTATGGCATTTTAATTCCTAATTGTAGTTTTATTAATTTGACCCTTGACCAGAAATTATTCTGGAACTTTCCCACCCACTTATTATAAATGCAGGAATGTACAGCCTAGTTGATGACTTCGTCGAAAAGAAAATTTTCTTCGCTGGCTGCAACCGCCTTTAGTTTTTAATAATTCCTTTGATCCAATGTGTATATTCTGTGATTATCCATATGACCTGAAGGTCCTGAGTCCAGTCGACGGTGGGATGGTGAATGCATGCTGATAAGGAGTCACGAACAAGGACTAAATAGCCATCCAGTACTCTCTGGTTTTTCACTGTTTCTGTAACTAGAGTCAATTCCGGATCAATCGTGAAATGCCTCAAACTCCTGCAAACTGGCACTTAGAGAAAACTTGTTACCACACAAATAGGTAGATACAAAGATACGCATCAGTTTTAATAAGTGTTTCAAAATAAATAAGAACATAAGAAAACAGGTGTGCAATTTTCAAACACTTATTTTGCCAAGATTTGCCTACAAATAAATTTATTGTCTTGATTTATTTACCTTTGATATTATCTCATAAAAGATTGTATCTAACATAAGTTTTGTTCATGTGTTAGATGAAATTCAATTTGAATTTACAAAACACTGTGTATTTATGGAATCTAGTAGTGTATTTATTGCTAGTTTTGGCGATAAAGCATTTTGAAAAAGCTAAATAGACTACTGTTAAACTACTATTATGAATTATTGAAATGCGTCGGTGGCACAGCAGTAGATTGCACGCCAACCACGCATGTGGTCCGAGGTTCGATCCCCGGCCACTGACCCACTCCTTTACCTCGCTAAGCCAGTAATATAACTGGTAAGGAGGGAAGGTTGGGCATGAGGTTAGCAACCGCATCCTGTAAAAATAATCACCACTGCTACAGAAAATTCAAACCACTAGCTTGAAGCTATGTTTCACTAGGAACGTAAACGAATAAAAGAAATGACTTATGCACACATAATGTCCTGTCATTCCTTGCGCTTCAAGTGTGGAACATAGCGCCTAAGGTTTGAAGCCTTGAAACTTCAGTAGCTATGGTGTTGTTGCTTCTGACGCGTGAGATTGATAGACTTACGCCCAACCTTCCCTGTTTTCGAAGCTTATTATCGACTAATGAACCAGACGAGGTTGACGAGTACGTCGGTGGTCAGGAATCGAATCCCCGATCACTTTCATGGTTGGCGAGCATTCTATCATTGGACCATCGACGTGCTAAACACACATAGATGAAAATCTTTTGAATATTTAAAAAACAACATTCTAACTCACCTGAATTCCAGGTAGTGTACGAGGGATTTGAATAGCTTCGTTAAATCTTGCCGTACGTTTGACAGAACCTTGAGAAGATGATTTTAGAAGGAAAAAGATTGTTTGCTTTAAATAAATTCATTTACTAAGGTTTTCATTAAAATTTTGTTGACACCTTTAAGTGGTTAATTTGTAGAGATTTGATTGATTGATTTCAAGATGGGTCTCGTCACCAACATAAATCAGTTGGGACTTCTAAATAATGACACCGAGGACTGAACCTTAAGCGCTCGGGTTACGAGGTGAGTCCACTATCCGTGCATCCACTGAGTTGGAATTTAGCGATCTGTGAATTCTAACTCTTATCATTTAGCGATATATTTCATCACAGTCCGTTTGAACTCATGGATCACAGGATTACACTTCGGCTAGCGAATAGTAACATGCCTGCCCCTTTCAGAGTTTAATCATTTGTGGAGTCACCGATGCGTACTGACCAGGAGTTCCAGATTAGGGTCAGATATGTATCCATTGCTCTCTGTTTTTTAGTGGTTCTTCTGAGTAATGTCGGTTGGTAGTAAAATTTTATTAATATTTTGTAATAATCCCATACTTAAACCGATGACAAGCTGAGTTTTGTTAAGGCTAGAACCCACCAACTTCACTTTTTCAGATAAGTATTTTAACAGGTCTTATATCAGTGTGAACTAACAAAAACCTTGCTTGATGATAATCAAAGATTGAGGCATAATTCATTCACTGAATGCCTGAGTAAACTTGTCAGGTTGCTTTGCTACTCTTTATGACAGCCGTGAATTTCCTCCACCATCCATTCTTCTTTGTTTTGCGCTAAGAGAGGAGCATAGCGTTTCAGGCTTTGAAATTTCAGTGGTATCTACGAAGGTGAGCTTGTTTCCCTCACACCCAGGCTCGCTACCAGCTAGGCAAGGTTTAGTAATGTGTCGACCAGGAATCAAACCCGGACCTTCCATCTCTTGGCTGGCGAGAATTCTATCAGTGAACGGCAGATATACCAAATCAGGAAGTGTTGGATGGGTTCGAACCCTGCCAGTGGGTGCGTACTGACGATGATTCCCAGACTAGGATGAAACAGCTGTCTGGTAGTACTCCCTGCTTGTTTTCAATGTTTCTCTAACTAATATCAATCCGTGATCATCTCGTAAAAACAAAACTAATCCTTACAAACCAACTATTTAAAATAAGATTGTTGAACTAACTTCAAATCTACAATTAATTTTTAATGTATCTGATATATCGTTGCATTTACAATTTCATAGAGAGACGAAAAAGGTGTTAGTGCCAACTTACTTAACTGTCTTTTCAGTTCCAGGACTGTTCGTTCCCATTCTCTACGTTTTGCACTATTCGGAAACATAACTTCATAGCGTTCAATACCTTCTCTGTAAAGAAAAAAAGGAAAAGAAAAAGAGAATGATATCAGATGGATAGTTCGTTTTCGCGGTGATACAATAATCTGTATGTATACATGTGAATTTATGATTGTAATTAAGTCTTTTGTTTTACTGACAAATTTAAATGTATGAACAAGGGGTATTTGGAAATATGCACACATATAATTTATTCTTCTCATAATAGCCTTGTTTTCTCAGTTAGTTAGAATTTATGGGAATAGAAATTCGAACATAAATTATCATGGTGAATAAGCAAAACTCTCTAGTATATGACAGGTTACATGCGATGTCCGCGGTAGATGCCAGTGAATTAGGCATATACAAAATAATTAATCTGACTGCAAGCTTAATGTTTGTTGCTTTGTTACACTGGATGCTTATTAGGGTTGAATAATATCAATAAAAGTAATAGCATGTGTTGGCGATTACTCATTCGTGCTTTTATTTTGCTAATATATATTATTATTATTCCCTTGAGTTCTGAGTGGATCACAGGGCTTCAACAACACATCTCCACTTTGTTCTATTAGGTGCTGTTCTCTTCAGTTGGGTCTACGGCTGACCATAATGTCTCATCCCCTCCTCCTCGCCGCACGATCTCCTACATGTCACCCTCGCCCCAAAGACCCACTCGTCACCCCCAATGTGATTCCACTCGAGTGATGGCCTGCATTGCACGCGATGTCATTCGACTGCCTCCTCAGTCTGTACCTGATCCATTTCCATTTTCCCCCACATATTTGTTGAGCGATCGACTCTTGCTTGTTGCTTCGTCGCCAGTCAGAGTTTCTTGTTACTAATTCTTTCTCGCCCGCTTGCCATTTGATCTTCATTATGTAGCCAGAGAAGGCAGCCGTTGACGAAAGTCTTGATCTTGTTGGAAATCCTTGTCGTGACACGCACTGTAAGTTTTTGACCGGTGTAGAAGAACCAACTTCACATTGATGTTGAAAATACGAATCTTGTTCTTTATGTTGACTGAGTGTGGAAGATTTCCAAACTGGTTTCAGGTTGGTGAAGGCGTATATTGCCTTTCCGATTCTAGCTGGCTGGTTTTGACACTTTCATCTATTACGAGTGCTTGTGGTTGAAACGATGCTTCCTGGCTGGATAAGTGAAGCAGGCAACCTCTGTCAAATCTCTCCCGTTGATGACGATTGGTGTGGGCTTTTGTCACTGTTGGTTGGTTGGTAATCTCCATCACCTCCGTCTTCTCTATGTTCACCTGCACCCTGTTTTCGCTGCCTGCCTCTTCAGTCAGTTTTTTGGTTTTCACACACAAGTCTTCAAGTTTGTGTGACATTAAAAAACATCAATCATCTACGCGCGAAATCCAGATGATCTAGAGTCCTCTAACTCCCATGGACAGTCCTCCACACAATCCAGTCTACCACAATTAAGAATGATATCGGTGATAATAGGCAGTTAGCTTGTCTTACTCCTGTATGCACTTCGAACGCCTCGCTGAGTTTTCCGTTGTGGATCACCTGACAATTGGCATTGTCTTATTGTGGTGAGAGCTGGCTGCTAGCCAAATTGGTAGACAGGAATTTACGTCAATGTTTACGTCCCCAATATTGGTCGTGAGAAAAATATGAACAAAGACTGATTCAACAACCAACCAGAGCAGACTTTGCGTAGGCGGATACACTTAGCTTATAGATGATCTGACCTTCAAGAAACAGCCACAAAGAGATGAAAGATTAACTTTCAGTGAGAAACAACCAATCGGAAGACTGTGTTTTTCTGCTAACAATAATCTATAATAATGTACATGAAAATCTATAAATACGTGTTGATTTCCTTAATAAACGATCTGTTGCCTGGCCCTTGTCTTCTGTCGTTACAATATAACCAGCTGCTGAAATAGGTTGATAAAGACTTGATTTCTGCAAGTCGTAGTATTGAAATAATTTCCAAATTACTTTTCGGTCGACGCTACTGAAGGCATTTTGGAAGTTTATGAAGTTAAAGTACAGGTTTGATTGCCATTCCATACTTTGTTCAATGACGATGAGTAGAGTTCCAGTTTGATCAGCACATGATTTGCCTTTCCTGAATCCAGATTGTTTCGGAGGGCAGAGTTCTGCATCCAGCGCATTTTACTAACATAACCCACCATATATATACAAATGGAGGTGAATTATGAAATTAGAAAAGCCTTGTGTACTTAGAAAAGTATGTGTGGGCGGCCACTAATTTCTGGACGCTTGAATCGTGAGGGCTGCGTAACCTCACAGCCCAGCGACAACTATTTGAGGCCAATCAAACATTGCCTATTTGAAGTGGATTTTTGAACTGTGTCAACACGAAGGTCTAAATGTCAGTTATGGAGTCCAAAAATATAGGTCGAAATGTATACAATGTAGTCTTCTCCTTCCTAAAGTGGAGGATTAGAATAGTTAGTCTCCTGGTTAATATCTTGCTGCTGCTACATCCTTATTAGCCAGTAGTGTGACTTCATGTTCAGACTTCCAAGATAGATTAGGCAGTTTACACGAAAATGATAGCTGTTTTTAGTAGGAAAGCCACTAATCGCTGAAATACAGGTAAATCTAGCTAACGAATCCTAAATAGAACGTAAAGTTCATGATTCAACTCTTAGTCATAATCAACCATATAACATGATGCTATACTATGAGTAGGTTTAGTGTACATTATCACGTCCGAAATACTATTCACTAAGTAAGTACTTCTATTTTATTATATCGTTAGATAATTTCGAAACGAAATGCGTTCTAATATTGGTGTTTGAAAAAACACCAACTCAGTTTTTTGTCAAATGCTGTGCAGAATTCGAACCTTTGATATCTAATAATTTGGCCCTCCAGCTAGGCGATCTTTTGGTCAGATTTTCATTTCTGTTTCAATCATTACTGCCATAGTGTGAATAAGTCTCATTTTTTGTAGCTGATGACTAATGTCGGAATCCACGACACGTATTTCTGTATAATTGAGATTCATCACCTGGATGTATCGATGATTCCCAATGAGTGAAGGTGTTTTCAATGAGACTCGAATCTATCACCCAGCCTTTCAAATGCCAAAGCGGGTACATCCTACTGATGAGTCCAAAATAAGACGAAATATACATCCTGGATACTACTACTGGTTTCCATCCATTAAATAAAACCATGTTAAACCTCAGACATCGTCTATGTCCATATGCTAAAAGCCGTCATGTCAACGGATACTGAAGTTTTCGGTCGAATATGATCACTCAATGGGAAATACAGATGTCAGGTGCTGGTTTGCAAAGATTTGATTGTTTGCAAGTACGATTGCAGGTTTACATTACTCAAAGAGCCATCGGAAAACCTGGAAGTATTGGAGAGTGGTTTCGATCTAGTTTTAGACCCTTCAGCTGCACACATGAATAGTTGGTTCGAATTCAGTACCTTCCGATTACAAGGCAAGTTGGTAGATCGTTCAGTCATTGCGACCTAATCTAGTAGTCCGCGAAGTCTAGCTTCTGCCGAATAGTGATGTTCAGCGTAGCCTCCAGCTAGTGTCATGGACGAGTAACCATCCTCTAACCTGACTTGGTGAACGCTGACGGTTACAAGCTCTCCTTGTAGCCGGAAGATACTGGATAGAAAAGTGATGAAGAGTCCCAAGCTGGAGCGAAACAGCTGTCCAGTGCTCTGAAGTTTCACGATAGTCCTCTGGATGGGTACCAACATGAAATGCTAAAGTAGCTTAAGTAAATAAGTTAGACGTTTATTGACAATGATATCCAGCCGTCTGATGTTTTAAAATGACACAAGATATAGTGACTTCTGTATATTATGATACTTTTTTCTAACAAATTTTATCGGAATTCTTATTTCGATTTCATTGAGAGAAAAAAATAATTTCTACACCTAAAATATTGTAGGACTTACTTGCTAGTAGCTGTAAAAATAGAAATATTACCGGGCATCGGTGTAGCTGCATTCCTTGCTGTGCGTAAATCTTCAAGTTCTTTCTGAATCGATAGATACATTCTACGCACTACAGCATCGAGATCCTGTGTATACAGAAGAGCAAAAGGGAGAGAGGAATCGAATAAACACAAATTTACAACTAACGCATGAACGGAATTAAATGAGGTTTGTTTCCAATACAAATTTATAAGTGTATACACACCAATTAGGATAGTTTCAGCATGATAAGTTTTATGTTTCAGTGTCATAAGCGACTACCAATTTGTTTTCTGTTGGTAACAAAGATATGCTCTTGTTCATGAGGATGTGAAAGACAGGATCCCGTTATTGGAAACTTCAGTGGCCATTTATTCATAATTCACTTGTTCCCGTGGAACTAAGTACACAGGCGGGAGATTGTCTATACCTGCGCATGAATACTTAACACCAACGTTGCCAGAATGAGAACGTAGAATAGTCAACAAATCAATTCTGGAGCACATTTCTATTTTTGGTCATCCAGCATCAGCAGTGACTTCATTCAGAGTCATAAATAAGGTACGATTCAAAGGTTTCGTTCCAAAAGATTTTAACTGAGTCGCCTTCATACAGCCGAAGCTTGAGCAGCAATCTTTGTATTCACAAAAGTTTTGTACAGCCTCCTTTACTGCTGTGGCCTTAATCCTTTTTTTCCTTTTGTTTTCCTGAGTAGCTGTATAATGAACTCTATGTAGCCCCTTTGTTATAATTATTATAGGCTTTGGAAGACCATTCTGAATCCTTCGTTCTCTTGTTTTTCATCAAGTCGTGAACATCTCTAATTACACAGATTTATAGGAATCTTAATTCTTCCTATGGTAGCATGATTCATGTCCTTAGAATTGCGTTTATAAGTTCCTCTCTCTCTCTATCCACACACACGCACATACTTAGTTGTAAAAGAAGCATGTCAGCTATTCTTTTTCCATTAATCTGCATACTATTGATAATCGACAAAAATGTATTCGCATTTTATCCAGTATAAACGATGTATGATAGTGCTTATTGTCTTTCTAATGTCCTTGTTATTCAATACACGCCTGAGAAGCATAGATCGCATAAACAGATACACTAAAGAAGTAATGGGTTGCTTGTTGATTTCTAGTGCGTGATGTCTTGAAAAATGTTGAACAAAGAGGCCTTCCAAGTGGACTGTAGAGCCTCAGCAGTACATCGTCATTCTAGCCTGTTCTCTGCATTTACTTCCGGTTGGCTCCACGTTGATCAACAAACTTTCATATCCTTGAAATCATCTCTCTAATGTGAACATCATTTGCACAACCTGTCGCTTTACATTCGAGCTTCAGTCGAGGGCTGACCTAGTACCTGATTTTACTTGGTTGCCTTCTCAGTATATATCCAATCCTTGTGAATATTTTCTAAGCAGTAGGTTCCCGTCAGGTTAGCTGCACTCCAAGAGTTCTTTCTTGCTTCCTCATCCTTACCATCCAGCCATCTGATCTTCTGTAGCGGATGACGGTAGGGGAGCATGAATAATAATAATAATAATGATTTACTTAATTCCAAAACAGTACTTGTGAATACAGAATGGAATTCTCAGCATTTCACTACAGTATGGCATCCAGTTTGTACATTAACATTAAATAAAATTCTACATACATTATGGGTAATCTCAGTAAGTTTTGACAACAACATATTAGCATATCGGTAGCAAAGCCAAAAGTCAACAGAATGTTTGAATGTGTTAGAAAAATAGATACTAGCATATTTACTGGCTTAAGTGGTAACAAAAATGGTTGAGATATACAGAGTGTGAAAGAACGAAGAAGAATGTTTTATGTAGAGTTTGTAAGGAAGAGAGAAACAAAGCAGCACATAACAGAAAAAAGAGAGAGAAAAGGAAAAGAAAGAAAACGTTGTACCTATAAATGATATGAGTTGGAAAGACGAGATCCAATTGTTCTACTGACTATTTAATAAGTTATAAGTCTCACGCCTAATGCTTTCTTTATCTCACAGAACACGAGTCAAGTAGGGTATGGTTGACTTTTTGTACTTTCTAGTGTGAGCATTTAGTTTTCTATATAGGCTTCTGGTCCTGCGTGATGAGATGCAAGGGGAGAGTTGTGAATGAAGAGGGTGGCGTCAGTTAGATAGAATGGATTTGGCCCATTTTTCACATGAGTCTATGTGCCTGTCGACCAAAATACTAACAAGCTGGTTAAGTGGCACATTGCTTACCCTGCTGACAACCTTTAACATCCTGCGTAATAAGATATAGTCTTTCTTCAGTAGCCCTGGAAAAACTAAGGGGGAACAATAGAGAATAATAAGCAGGATGCAAGAGTTAACGAATCGTAAGAGTAAGGGTTGGGTTGGGTTATTCCAGAATGTCTTTGGTTTATTAGAAATGGTTTAAGTGAAACGTGCACCATATATAAACACTGACTTAAAGTTAGTGTAGCGAATTCAGGTCTTGTTCCTTATGTGTACTGTGTGCTTAGGATTTTCACAGAAATAGGCAATGATCCTGCTTCCTTAACTGTCTCTGGCTGTAATAAATTTGAATTTGAAATGGTGCTAACCAAGCCATCACGTAAAAGAAGCAGTTTCCTTTAGACTCATCCAACTGCTGATGACTGACTTACACGAGTAGTTTGGGAAAATTGGTTACCATTTCTTATTTTAAAATTACGGTTTTTAACTTCCATTTACAAGCTGTTTTGTATTGGAAGCGTCAATTAATTGACAAAAGGCTTTTTACTAACTTGCCTGTATTCTACATGTCGGGATGTAAAACTTTTTTTCTGAAATAAGTAATACACGTCATAATATCTTGAATAACAACAATCTGTTATATAGAATTAGCCATAAAGTGATCATTTTGTGAAACAGCAGGGGTCGCTACATCAATTTTGCCATTGAAAATCAATAATACTAGTTGTTAAAAATATCCGAATTAAATATTTTTTGGCTTTTATGGGGATATCGTTTGAAGTAAATCAATATTACTGGGAAGCATTAGTGAAATTCTTGAAGTCCTTGACAATAACTGCAATCACTATGGGTTACATAGTTCTAAGGAATCAGTGGTTCAGTGACACGTTGTTCGTCAGCCATGCAGTATATCGATGTTTGATTCCCGGTCGACAAACTCTTAAACTATCGAACAGATAGTGAGCCAGAAAAAGGGAAGATTCAGCAATAGGTGAAGAACCCTACCGCATACAGACAACACCAGTGGTACTGGCACCTCAGAGCTTAAAGCTCTACGTTCCACTGGGAACACTACGAATCAGAAAAACAGTTTCATAGAACGTGTCTTATCCTTATTAGTTTGTTTATTAGATGTATCACACAGTCAGTGAAACAGTATTATTATTATTTACTGGATGACGAAGTTTCGAACACAACTCATTATGGTTCATAATCATTTCATCAATTATAATCACACAACTTCGAAACTTCAGTTTTGTGGTTTTCTTTGTTCTCTCCGATTCGCCGTCGTAGGGGTAGTAGAATTACACGTATTTGCACTTGATTTGATAAACAAAGCCACTGTTATCAATCTCTCCCTCCACTCTGCTATTACATTAGATTTCAAAACTGTCATCTTATCCCATCCATCCTATCGTATGGTTGTGTGTAACTGCATTTGGTGCTGCTATAGTTGAACTACCCTCCAGATTTCTTATCTTATTCGAGTATACTAATCTAGATTGTGCTAGGTGTTTATGCTCGGCTAGTCTGCCTGCACCTGTTCTACTACTTTGACCTATGTATTTGACCTGACAATCATTGTAGGCAGGGTATTAAATAAATTAAATTGTTTTGTTTTAAAGGCTCCACAGGATTGATCCTCTAAGCGACAAAACTCGTTTTGAATTGAGTTTTTGGGTTTGAATGCTAGCGACTTTTATTCCTGCCTTGTTAAGAATTCTGCGTAAGGTTTCTGAGGTTCCTTCCTTGTATGGAATTACTGATGATGATTTAGATTCCTTATTGTTAGTTTTGTCATTATCTTGCGCATGTTTGACATGCATGTCGTCATTAATATTATTATCATTATTATCACTATCACTATTATCATTATTTATTTTATTTTTATTTTTACATTTCCCTACATATTTTCTGACTAATTTATCCGGGTAATTATTAAGTTTCAAGGCTTCTTTTATGTGTATCACTTCCTGTCTTAGATATTCCTTGGTGCCACTTAGTTACACATATATTAATATGTCTTATCCTTTTTAGTTTTTTAGTTTAGAATTAAAATACTATTGTAACTTAGTAACATTGTGAGGCTTTTTGACATAAAAAATTTAACTGAGCTAAAGAAAAGTATAACTGGTAGTTTTCGGAAAAAAAACTTGATTAAATTGTAACAGAATAAGGAAAACATTGAAACATTGCAGCTATCTTTATTCCTACAGTTTCAATTAGCCTTTGTAACTTATCAGGTTGTATCAACATTCCCGCATTTTGAGCCACATTTCACAGTATTATCATCCTGATATGGAATCAGTTAGGGGTGAGAAACCGAGAGAAAACCCGTTCCATAATTGGGATGATTTTACACTGGTCTGAAAATTAGGACAGTCACACCCAAACTTCATACACACACAAGAAATAATTTCGTGTTGAAAATCTAGACAGAATGTGTGAACATGCTTACATGCTTATTACAGTCGGCAGTTTATGAGTTATTTGTATTATTCCACACAATTCTCTTTAGCATTCCTTACGGTCAAATTCGTTTATGTCTGTCAAGCTGTAAGCTGTTAGTAGGAGGTTTTCTATAGATATCAGTTCTAGACAATGCGTTTATCAAATAGAAAGTGAACAGATGTCCATCTGAAGTCCTTTCCAGCTATGTTCCCACATTCACATATATATGCCAGGGAAAGTGTTTATACAAGACAGAACTGTGGGGAAACATATAATCAAATAAGGAAATAAAGTAGGGTATTGGAACCACATTTAGCAGCCTTACTTCGATTTGCTGCATCAATTGTCATCAAGCAACTGAAGCCAAACTTGCTTATGCAAACAGAAACAGTGATTAATTTCAGCATGGCCTGGTAAAGAAGTTTCTCCACTTGTT